CTTGAAAATGGCAAAATGAAAATATATATGGGACACAAAGGTGCATTTCCAAGGATTGCAAGAAAAAAAAAATATATTATATAGGCCCTTTAAAGTATATACCAATGAGGGACAATATGAGGTGAACGATTGAAGGTGTTTGCAGATATGTACATGTACAGGGTTCCTTATGGGGTAGAAAACACAATTAGACTCCATAAGGAAGTATTTAGTATTTATAGGGAAACGCTGTGGTGTTTGAGAATTCAACAGCAACAAAGGAGAACAAAGAAGAGAAACCAAGGGGTACCCCAATATGTGTGCGTGTGAGGCTGCGTTTCAGTGTTTAGGGTGTAAATCAAGGACAGCTATACACGTGCAACATCATCGATGAATTGAGGACAGGAACCAAATCGAAGACGACCTCGATTAGAAAACATGTGCAAAACCAGTGAGAGCTGTTGCAAAAACGTAAGAGTATAATTAATTAAACATAAAGGAAAAGGGAACAACAGAAAATCCTCGGTTTACACATTAAACAAACGTGTCTGAGTTTGTATATGCATTTAAATAGTGGAGGTTAAACAATAGAGGGCATGAATATATCCCACGATTGACTCCGAAGGTCCACGATTGAGATTCGTGCACAAAACGAATGAGAAATGTTGCTAAAAAGTTAGTGTACACATCAAAGAAGGACAATCACTTGCAGCTGTATAAACACAGTTGTCTCGGTTGGTCATCCTTTATGACTGAGGACTTGGGACAATAGGGTGTGTGCGATAACCCGGGCCCGACTCTGCCCGAGGACCTGGGCACTTATGGGAGCTGGGTAAAAAAGTATCAAACAAAAGGAGCAAAGAAGGAAAGGGGACGGAATTAGGTCGGATCCTCATAAGTATCAGCTGCGTGCCTGTGTGGGTGTGTGTATGTGAGGGGGAGCTGGATTATGAGGGCACTCTGAAAATATTGAATTGTTTTTGATTTTTATTGATTAAATGCAGGCAGGATAAGTAATGATGAGGTGCTGATTAAATTAACACTACATATTTATTTATTGACTTCGCCCTCTTGTCTTTGTCAATTTTCTTATTCCGTCTTTGTCCCCCCCCCCCATTCCCCGCGACATGTCCTAAATGTTGACGCTCCTATACTCCTATCAACTTGTTGTGTGTGGTAACTTCGTACATGCAGAATTGACGTTAGCTTTGATAGCATCAACATCATTGAAACTTCCTGGCTATTTCCGCCATGAACGCGAGCCTTAATGCATTCCGCATCGATCAAAGCTCAGAGTTCGCGTCTGTGACAATGATTTATGACGCATGACCTGCGCTTAACACTGCAAGTTATCTGAAGGGGTACAGGTCGATTGATTTTGCAGGTGCACAATTAGCCGTGACCCTCAGGTCGTCTTCAACCACGTACCCTAGTCTAAGGGAGTATGCACTGTTTCCTGTAACAAATAATTGCAAAGTGCATGGTTGGTATTAGGAACTAGATTTTGAAATTGCATAGTTTTCTTGATTATATATTTTGAGCTATTAATCATCTAGCTATAGTTTCATCTAAGAAATAGTGCTAAAACATCAACGATAAGTTAGGATTTATAAAAAAAAAAATTAACCCATTGTCCTTAAATAAGAACAATAAAACGGTTAAGTTCCCCCACCACCAAACGGGAATCAATAAACCCAAAGTGATCTTGCTTAAATTTCAAGCGAAAGAATTAAGCCACAATGAAATAGGCCTATTATCGGGTCCAATCATAGTAAAGGGGAGCAAGTTAACGTAGTGAGGGGTCCAGGATTTTACAAGGGCGTGGCTGTTGAAGTCCAAGATTGTTCAAGGTGGGTGGATGGGGCGTTGCCGTCAACACAAAAATGAATCAAAAATTGAGTGATGACAAATGCAGGGAACTTAAGGAAATTTTGTATTATTTCCAGTATAAATAATTAACATTTGTCAGTCGGTCTACCCCCCCCCCTCCCCACCTGGAACCGTCCTAGATGCAGCAGCTATATAAAACCTGTTTATAATAGGATATTATTTTTTTATTTGTCCTGAGTAAAAACTGCACAGAAAACACAATCATCGTTTACATATAACGTTAATACTATTAGCGCATGGCATACGTTTCTTTAACTCTGTGGTGTGCGACAGTACTAGCATTGTCAGTAGACATAGCTAAAAAAGCATCGTGAATGCCCCTTTAACCCTGGTTGAACTTTTGACCCAGAATTTTTGAGGCAAAGATCCGACCCAGGCTCGAAGTCCCATAGGATTTGTATTGTCAGGTATAGACACTATGAGAAGGCATTCTTTTCACCAAAACGCCTTTGTAAGACCGTAACACCCATGCACCATCATACTGAAAAGTTTAGTACTGTTGATTAATTTCAACTATAAAAGACGATGGCGCCTCCAGGGTTTAAAAAAGTATAAATTATAATGTTAACGTTTTCATTCATTGTTCATTATGAATGATCGACACGACATTTTTTTGTGCATTATCATTGACACACAGGTCCCGTGGCCTTTTGGTGCATTTTAAATTGAAATTTAATACGTTAGCTCCGGGTGTCCCATGAAATTGTAACAAAAGCAAGTAAAACGTGTTGGTTTTGTATTGAATTAAAGGTATAAAAACGAAAGATTATTCAACATAATGTGATAATACATGATGCAATATATATTTAATATATATATATCGATTATTTATGCTAAAAATAGTCGACCTACGTACGTTTGTCTCGATTTCATATTATTTTGAACCTCAAGCTACAGCATACAGCAGGTGTATTTCTACTTTTCAGATAACACGATGTAATTTCCCCTTTCTTGCACTTATATAAATAATTAAATTCATGTTTTGTTATTTCAAAATCACGGGAATCTAGACCAAGTACACGCAATTAGATAAAGCTATCATAAAATATTTGGATTTCTTTTTTGTTCCGTTAAAAAAATGAATGTTTTATGTTTTCTAAAAAACAATGATAATAATATATACTTTTTTTCATTGAAAACGGCTCTTTCTATACCAATGGCTTTTTTTTCATTTTTGAGTAAACCAAGGCAAATCAGTCGGTTGTCGTATGGTATTGTTGCTTTATGTATGCTGTAACCAGTGCAATAAAACATAAATTTGCAATTCCGATCAGCCTAACGAATTGAATATTTTGGGTTTTTGTCTAGTGTATTGCAAATAGGTCTACATAATATGTGCATGGAGAGAATAAACGTATAGAAAAAACCGCACAATGTCAAACATGAACGAAAAGTCAAAATAATGTTACGGTATTTTGCAATTTGGTCGACACATTTGGCATCTAATACATGCTTCCCTTTAAGAACGCCAGTGGCATGAATTTAAGCATTTCTAAATTTACGATTCATTACTTCTCATTATTATCAAACAATATCAATGTACATGCATGTTTTATTATTGGCACACGAGATAACAAAGACACAAGGTTGATACGAAAAATGACGGCATTATATCGGCAGTAAGTGACCATAGAGAGCTGCATGAAAACATCGATCGAGTGTCCCTGAGTCGATATCGACGATTTTATAATCAGCATGTATCATCTCAAAATGATCATGTTCTCCGATTATTCACAGAAACTAATATAATCACTCATCCTTATCTGGATTTGATTATGCACTGAATATTTTAGTTAATTTACCAAATGGCCTTTTTTATGAAGGTAGATGTTTGTCTTCTAATTATACAATATGCGTATCTTCAGTATTACGCACTATAATGATTTTTTGTTATCCATATTTTAATGGCCATATGGCCATAAAACAACAATTATCTGAAGATGAGCTCGGATCTCTACTAAACAGCCACAAATTTAAGAAATTATTTATTATAATAATCTTGTTTCGGGTTGTATAGCTGTACATGGACGTGAGTCGTTTCACGGATTCAGATCATAGATTACCCAAATGGACAAAAATGGACGATGCACTAATAGATAATGCTGATCAGGGAAATTAATTATGCAATGAACATGATATGGCGACGGCTGTCCGTATAGTGATAATTAATTTTGTTTCTGATTATCTTTGATGTATAGATAACATGACGCGACACTGAGCTGCATGATCAAATTCACCTGTGTTCTGTGTGTTTGTAAATTATACTGTTTCATTGAAAGGATTTTAGTCCTTTTAATAGTTTTAATTTTTAAGAATAATTCTGCTCGGATTTCGTAAGGCCTATAGCTCCCTCTAACTATATTCTTTTTTATGCATGTCACTCCAAATACAGTTTAATTACAGCTTTAAACAAAAATGATATGGAGGGAATCTAACTTTTTCCTGAGGGACAATTAAGCTGAAGCAAGTAATAATCGGAAATGAATATAAATTATTTAATTTACTAATTATTAAACATCTAGATAAAAATATGATTTTTTTTTTTTTACTAAATTATCATTTTTGGAGAAATCGGAATCACTACGTACGTGTTGCATTATTGATAGAAAAATTCTAATCAATTATATATAAACGAGTGTTGACCGCTCATTTGTGTCCTAGAAGCTACCTTTAACATTTAATAAAAAATGTAAGGGCATTGCAATTTCAGAGATTATTACCTATTTCCTTTCCCCATTTCCCGCTGTTTTCTGCCTGCGTGGCCTCACATAAAAAAAACAGGTTTCAAAATAATGATAATGATAACCACGGTTTTCCCTCCTCAAAACTGAGGTAAAGGACTATATGCCCTAAATATCGTCAAATCGTTAGCGCACCGGTTCCCACGGCGCCCCAATCGCACTCAACTGTTTTTTTGTGTGAACCGATTCCTGGTGCGAGTTTGCCATTTGGTTTGCGGATTACTGCTTGGTTGGCGTCGATTCCCCCCGTAATAAATGCTTTTGATACGCCAACACACTGATAAGCGATGTCCCTCAGGCCATGGGCATACTTCACTGACCACGAAACGGTCAAGCTAGTCCACACAAACCCCAAAACTTACGCGTGAGTTTTGTACTAGATACAATAAACGTGCCCCGCAGACCAGCAACATGAAAAGCTGCGCGCGCATCAATATCCTATCGCCATTTTGGATTCCACGTCTGTTTTCTAAGCCGTTAATTCCGCGTTGCATTTTTCGTCTTTGCGGCTCTCCGTGCTCGAAAATCTCCCGAATTTGACCGTCAGCGGCCAGGTAAGAATACACCCTCTCGGGTTTGAGTATTCCCGCGACTTAGTTTGGGGAATGGGAAAATATTTTGCGTTGGAAAGAGTTTCGATGTGCCGTTCGTTCGTCGTAGCCATGCATTGACAATAGTGTCACTAGTATTATTATTCTTTACGACCCAAAAGTTAACGGTGTAAAGTTCCTGGTACTAGGAGTGGATTGTGTACATAAGCAAAACGATTCCAACATCTTTGAAACAACTGTGAATATTGCTATGTGTAATGTATCATGGGTTGTGACTTGTCCATGTTGTGTGTCAGTTATCTCGTTGGAGAGCTTGGATTACCGTAACATTAAAGTAACAATGTCGACATTGATGTTTACGCATTGAAAGCCACACTGCAGGAAGTTGAAGCAATGAAAAGGAAATTCGTCCTTGCAAAAATGTCCGTGCGTGTATGGCGTATGCAGATTATAGCCTGCACGTACATGTACATAATATGGAGGGGTGTGTGTGTGTGCTTACGGGTTGTGTAACTCATGGCGCATCGACTAAATCCTAGACGTGACCAAAAGGGAGTTTGGCTTGGGTTGGGACTGCATGGACCGGTTGGTGGTTGTTGAAGTGCCCTTAGCCTTAACGACTGTGTGCATGTGATGTGTTCTGGATTTGTCTCGTCAATCCGCACTAGTGATTGAAAGCGTATGTGAGTCGTTATTGATACGATGTAGAATTGTTGACTTATATGTGGCAAACTTTACCTTTGTATTTACTATTTACAACAAATTCACCGTCGGTTTTTCTCGCTATCAAATTACGCTTGATGATTTACGGGAAGTAATTTGCTTGTTGATTGGTGTTTCCGTAGGGATATGCGTACGTGCTGCCGTATTCAGCTCGTAGAATCTGGCATCTTTAGATACATATTTCCGGCGTTCGGCGTTCAAGGATATTTGGTTAATTATCGTCTCATTTCTTATTTCATAACTATATAGTTATAACAGATGTTATATTTGCGTTATAGTATTTGTTACAGTATTCGTTTTAAATGAAAACAGTATTCGGTTTTAACTTTATATGACAACAGTTACTGGCTCATATCATGCATGGTTTACGTCGAGGCGTGCTTTATGATAGGGGAGTCACTATGATGACTAGCTGCATATGTGGGCTGAAAAAAGCCATTCGTTCACAGTTTACAATTAACCAATGCATGACATTGGCCGAAATTGTGAATTATGTGATGACTGATGATACAAGTGTGTGTGGGGGAATTATGTGAAGTAATTTGATGTAATTACCAAAAAACAAAACACCCCAAAAAACATTTTTGTTTCAGTCAAATTTAAAAGATAGGCAAATTTATGATGGGTCGAACTTATATCAAAACGACAAAAGAAAATGCACCGTAATGTGATAAAAATTAAGACAATCAAATTGGGAAAATTAATGAGTTTGCGAATTGGACAGACAGACACAGTTATAGTTTTAGTTTTTAATATAAACGTTGTGTAAATCACAAAGGTCAGGTTTACCCTTTTGGCTTTTCGTATCACGGGTTTCTTATAATTATGTTTACGTTAGACCTTGCTAAATATAAGTATAAGCTGACGGCCACAAATTCACAAGTTATAGCTGATAATGTTAAACATTTAAAAATACTTATTATAAGATGGAATTTCGCGTCGGGGTGATATAAATCAAATTAGGTTTAAAAAACGTCGGTGAAGGGCAAAACCTAATTTGAAAAATACGTATGTTCAACTTCAAAGCTATTTTTCATCTTTTTTTTAAATTTCAGTCAAAGCTTAAAACGAATCAAAATTATTAAAGAAAATTTATATTTAGAAAAATCCAAAGATCAGATAATTACGGACTTAATGTGGTAAATTGAAGGGCTGACACGGAGAGCATGTCAAACAGATTATCACTTTTCAAATAAGTGAAGACATGAAATAGATCGTGACATGCAAAAGTACGCAATGAGGAAGTTCCAATTATTTAAATCGATGTTTTGAAAAGCGCCAGCTTTATGCCTATATAATGCTTTCAATGGGTATATTATACAGAATCGTCTAATCCTCAAGAGAATTACACCTATTGCTCAGTACGTGCGTGTACTGTCAATATACATGTACATGTACATGTACATTCTCTTGATTGTTGTTACATGTGCACTGTTGTGCTATTACGTAACATGTTTGATAGATCAGCATGATCTCTTATAAGATATCCTTCATGATGCATGAGGTTGCATTATCGTCATGATATTGGCATGATATTGGCATGATATTGGCTATTGTAATGAACAATGAAATTTCTCGTTTTTAAATTTTAACAACACATCCGCTCAGAAAAAAAATATTGATTTATTTAATAAAATAAAATGCATAGTTTGGTATATAAAGTTTAATTAAAACTAACGTTGGATTGTTTTACTTATTTTTGAGAGATCGAAATTCCGAAATTTAAATATCGGTTAATTTCAAATCAGACCAGACAATTATACTCTTTAGATGTGAAAATCCGACCGAACAAAAATGTATATCGGCACTGTGGTGACTGAAATCCACATAATTATTTATAAAAATATGGGAAGTTTAATCACGTTTTTAGCTTTTCACTTCCACTGAATGACGTTTTATTGAGATGAAATCAACAACAAATTAATTGTACTGCTCTCAACAGTTGAAAGATAAAGAAACAAAGAACACTTGATTGATTCTGGGATTAAAAAAATAAACCAAAAAGCCACTTACATTTGCTTATTTCCATCGGTATCCCCCCCAAAAAACCCCCCTAAACTTTAACATAACACACAAGTTAATCACGTATAGGCCTATATGTTACACTTGAAGTACAGACTTCATATGAGATGTCACGCCAAAATAGCGGTCTAACGTTAATTTAGCTGAAATTAATTAAGATAAGTGTTTAATTCGTTACTTTTTTTAAATTTATTAAAACTAAATTGACCTTGTAGAGATCGGTCACTGATACTAGCCCACTTTATCAAAATGGGATTTAGTTTTGCTGCGTGTTGTTACTTCCTTATCGGACCAGGAGGATCCATCAAAATTAGAATTTATCTTCCTTGATTTATCTTAAATTTGAAATCAATCTTTAAACAGTTGATGCTCTTTGAAGTGGCCATTATTACCAGGAATAGTTGAACTTTGTATATTCTGTAAACTTCCTCTAACCAAACATTTTCGTCATGGAAAAAATTATTGTATTAAAAACAGCTACAAAATATAATTGAGGCATTACTCACTAAAAGTGAACTATTTCAGGAATGAAACATAGCCCATTTCTTTTGTTTGCTCTCCAATGCTTTCAAAACTTTTATCGAGGAAATATAGTGGTTTCACATATTTCTATCAAAACTAATACAATTTGGCGTGTTGTATGAACTTTCTGTACAATGACGGTGTACTCTAGCTTGTTCATATAAAAACTCTAAATTAACCTTTTGTGCTACTACATGCCAGCGGCATAATTTCACGATTTCACATGATTCATGACCAAATGCTGAACGGCAACAGCAAACCGAAAGCAATTTGTCAGCCGTGTCGAAACAACCAACTACCGTCAAACGACGGCTCACATTGTTCAAGATAGGCCTTATACCGGTACGCCTGATATCTCACAAATTCAGCCTAAAGGCAAAACGTACACGCACACACAAACAATTGAAAATCTCTGGCAACTTCTTTGTTGATTTTAAAGCAAGCGAGTATTACAGCGAAGAGGTCATCACATCAGTTGGGATAGATATTGCTGTGGATGTTTTGTTCACGCACACACACACACTGTGGCGTTCTTGCAATCAGTGCGCTCAAGTTCCACACAAATTTGATCCTTGACCCGAACGTTCAACTATACGTACTCGGAGTTACTGAAAAAAAGGTGGTTGTCTGAAGGCAGGCTATCGTTAAGCGTTATAGAGGCCATACCATGTTGCCAAACGCTAGACTATAGCGCACAAAACTCAAGTTAGATGTCTTCGTGTATACACAAATCATAATACAAAATGTACGTGGTCTCATGTCATCCTCCACTGAGACTATAATGTTGACTTTGGCACATATCGTATTGTGTGAACAAGTGGCGTCTCCCAGTTGAATACAATTAAGCAAATCAATATCCTCAAATCTTCAGGATATTAAAGGGGACGTGCAATCTCTTGCAGCGATTGTGTTTTTAAAAGAAAAAAAAAAGTCTAGTCCGTGTGAAGAGTTGTGCGTAACACCTGTTTAACAAATGGGGGACTCGAACGTAAACTCCAGGGAATGTACTTGTCGCCATAGGCGTCGCGAGGGGGGGGGGGGGGCAAGGGGGGGGGCGCTTGCCCCCTCCCCCCTGGAAAATCCAAAAAAAAAAAAAAAAGGAAGAAAAAAAAGAGAAAAAAGAAAAGAAAAGAAAAAGAGGCGCGAAGTTATAGTGGTGTAAATTTATTGGGTTGGGGGGGGGCGAAATGTCCCTGCCCCCTTCTAAAACTGATAATTCGAGAAAATGTTGAGAAATACAGGATTTTTTTGGGTTAAAAATTTGTTTTGCCCCACTCTAGAAAAAATCCTGGCGACGCCCATGCTTGTCGCACTTGTTTTCCTTATTTGAAAAGCGTCCTAATATGCAACCGAGCAAACTGGTATTCTGTTTGTGGATTTAGCAATTCTCATATTAAAGAAAAGTTTCAAATTAGATTCCGAGAGGAATTGTCGAGAGAAACTATGTTACAGAGATCACCTTGTCTTTCTGCTATTTTTTTGCCATTTTGTTGTTGTTGCCATTTTACTTAATTCAAGGGCGAAGTTTGTTTACAGGATCCAGTACTCACTACGTTGACTCTCACGTGTTGGGATTAGAGCTGTCGTTTTACATGACTTGCGGCATAGAATCTGAACAATTGATGATCAAGTGGACCATGACCCTTGTTTTCAATACATGATATTTTGGACCCTCTTACCCCGGTGGTACTGATATTGTGTAATGGATGAAAACCTGGCACCAGTGCTATCATAATAAGTATGGCTCTTTTAACTGTAAGGGGAGCTATAGTGGGGAATTGGCAAGTAGCAGGCTATATATAGTGTGTGTCTTTGAATTCACCCATGCAGCAAGGGGTTTGGGGGCGGAGGATAGCCGTGGTGAATTTATTTTCCATTTGGTTGAACAGGTATAGCATCGCGTCCACAGTGGGCAGTAGCAGGTGACCTTTCCGCCCACCGACAATTTCTGGTTATTTTTAATAGGAGCTATCGATTCAAAATTCAGTGCGGCAACAATTCGTTCACTTTAAAGATTCCACATTTTGCATCCTGAATTGTTCAAATTTTAAGCTAAAGATCAAAAAAAAATTGCTATTAATCGTGACTATGCAGGTAAACAGGCCATAGTTTCATGTTCCCTTTCTTTAGCACATGATATTACTTGCATGGGTATACTTTCTCGATATATAATATTTGTCATCACACATGCCTTGTCCGTAATAACATCAATATATATGCTTTTCCCATTTTTATGGGTCAATGTAAACATTTTGGGAACTTTGTGTGCCCAAGTTGCAAGAACCATTATGCACTTTTAGGTCAAATATTCCGTAAAATGTTTTCGGGTTTAGCACTTCAATCAAAATCATTAGTTTGATCTGATGGTGGCGTTTAACTTGCCCTAGACTAGTTTCCTCCAGGGCAGAATTAATTCAGCCAGAAAATGGGGCGATTTACAATGAAGGGGAGCTGCAAAAAAGGCCCGTCGCCAGCCTTGAGCATCAGGAGGGGCCAAAGTACCAACCAGGGGGCCTACTACCATAAAAATACAAAAATACATATGTATGGGTTTTGCCGTTGGGGGGGGAGGGGATTGCTCGCCAAGGGGGGCCCGGCCCCACCAGCCCCCCCCCCCCTTAGTGACGGGCCTGAGGCCAATGCATGTAAGTTGCACTAATACTTGGTGAAATTCCAGATATTTTTTTTTCGAAGACACAAACGACCTTGGTTGGTACAAAATGATTGACTACGTTAACATCAGTTCTTCTTTTTTTTAGAAATAATTAATTTGTTTTAATTGTACATCTTTCGATCCAATTCAACTACATTTATTCCTATCAAAAGCAAGGTATAAAAGAACCATGAGAACAATAAGTTGCTATAATATGAAGAACATCAGTTCTTCATAAATACTCATATGCGTTGTTTCGTTATTCAACCTGTTCGACACTGAACATACTCATTTAGACCAGGTGTGCGCAAAGTAATTCGGGTTTGATTGCATCGTGGTTGTACCCAAAACGGAACTGCCTGTCATTTCATGCTAGCGATGAGTATTTTCTTTTTAGATATATACCTGTGATATAAACTTGTGGAGTACTGTGGCCTCGTGGTTAAGGGCACTGATTCGTGGTCTGTGGGTAAAGCTACAGGTTGTGGGTTCGAGTCCAGCCTGCGGCTATGGTGCGTGTGCCCTTGGGCAAGGCACTTTGTCACTCATTGCTTCTCTCCACCCAGGAGTAAATGGGTACCTGTGAGGGCAGGAATGGTTATTGTGATTGAATTAGCTTCCTTGCGCCTAACAGGCTGCATCGAGCTGTATACTCCCCAGGGAGCTGAGATGGTATTTTGAAAGTTTCATTGGCCCAATGAGCAGGGGTGATAATGATGTAGCGCCCTGAGCACCAGTCCTGGTGGATACGTACGCTTTATAAATATCCACTATTATTATAAGCCACATGTGAAAACATACTATAATGAATTGAAATCGATTTCACTTTGTGCAAAATCAAGTGTATACTAAGCTGCCTCTGACTGTGCGCGCACGCTGAATTGCGTTTATTTTCATGTCTTGTGAAGTCAACTTGCAAATCCCAACGTTTGCTTTTCTAAACTAGAAAATGCACGCGTGAATAATTATGAGCTGAAGAGCAATTTCATACAGTGCTGACGGTCTCACAGTACGGCAGATAGGTGTTGGGATTGTGCCTTTTAACAACAAGCAATGGAAACCATTTTGAAATTTTTGCTTGTTATTCTACCTATATTTTTTTCAATGGAAAAATCTGCGATGGCCCTATAGGCAAATATGTTTCTCATGACATACTATGGCTGTGTCAGCCCCTGTGTGCCAAATTCCATGCTTGTATCATCAAAGGCACAATTCCCTCAAATCTTTCCCTATCTGCCCCACTATTTGCATGACATAAGACAGAGAAAAACTTATTAAGTAGAAAGTATTTTAGTTTACACTGGCTTTCCGTCTTTTCAACAGAACTATACTTTCAGTGAACCGTGAAATTAACTTTGCTGACATTTATTTTTTTGCTATGTACACAACACATGTACATTCACTTCGACACTACTTAAAATGTGTTGGTGTACATGTATGGTGTTACGATTCACAAATGGAGAACACATTAAAGATCGTTCAGTCCTCGGTCCTCGATCGTACGGTTATGTGCTTAGTCTTTGGGAGAGTATTATATTACAGGGACAAAGGAAAACACAAAGCATTGTCCTCGGGCGTATAGAAAAACACGACTGTGTGTTTCAGATGTGCATTACATTGTATAGTGTACCCTTTACGTACAGATATTACATTGGCAATGCACGCTAACGAATTAGTTCAAGTGCCAATGAGCTCTTTAAATCAAAAAAGCAATTTCAATGAGATTTCGTTTTTAGTGTAAGTTACCACCTGCTTCTTTATGGGAATTGATTTCATTTTTGACAAGAACAGTACCGTCGAATTAAGATAGTGAAAGTCCCTTTAATGGGATGTTCTGTTTGTCGTATTAGGCGCCAGTCGGGCCATTTCAAGTCTATCCTACACCATTAAACTAATTGGTACACGGTATAAGACTAAGTGTCCACGATATTACACTTTATAATATTAGTCCCGAACGGCATCAAACAAGATATAAACGTTGCTAAATTTGGTGGGTTTTGGATTGGCAAATGCCTACTGAATGTACACCTGTACTTGGCACGATGGCGCTACTAGCACTAGACAACAACGCTGTAAAGCCTAAAGCGAATTCTATTGTCTGATTTTTCTTAAGGTAAAGTAACCGCCAGCCAGTGTACTATCAACGCCATTGCTGTTTTTAAGGATGGCGTCATTGTGACCGCACGGCGTATACGCCTCCCTGGTCACAAATACACAACACCCGGATTTGTACTCAACAAGGAGCCTTTGATAGTGCGGTCTGCATTGTGTGAAATACAAAATTGTACAAAAGTACTATTCCATGGTTGTGATTGAAATTTTGTTTGCAGTCAGGTCAAATGGACTTGCAGACATTTCATATAAAAAAGAATGCATTTGTCTGCGGGAACAGTATATCACGCTTGCGTTAGTCAATACAGTCATGTTCAGCATTACTGTTGCGATATGATTATGTGCTTTTCCAATTAATGTGTAAATTCATACATTATCAACAAAATTAATGTGAAGGCAGAAATCGTTATATTCAATACATATTGTGAAAGTATTCCATTCTTATTATTGTTGTACATGTTGTATTCTATTTTTGCATGATTATTTCATCTGGCACATATGGGCTATGTGCATTTCACATCAAAATGTTAGGATATATAATCATACAAATTATATAACGGATATATGTTTTCCAAACCGAACGCGAATTCTGTACCCGCACCAGTTCAGATGGTCCGATGCCTTTGTTTTCCGTTCATGTAACTCCATTTGTTTACACGTACTTCCTCACACGCATCCCCGCTTGGTTGACAGATGTAACATTCGCCATTTCGTTGTTTCGTTTTCAGTCTCCTTGTGTAGGGTGTCCCGCCATGGAGGCGGTACCAGATCCGATCCTGCGGACCCTACCACGCGAACTAGAGTTTAGGGAATCTTCCATGTTTCCCGAACACATAGGTAAGATAGACTTGTAGTCCTTTCAACGATACGCACATTCCTCCGGGAACAAAAAATGTTGTTTTTAAGAAATTGCTTTATAAGCTTGATTGGAGGGACGGGGGGAAGGATAATAACAACGCTTACATTATCGGATATGTGGCCTTACAAATTATGATTGCATTTTAATACACATAATTTATGTCAAACGGAATTGAAAGAAAATGAAGTTCTTTTAGAATTTATAAATCTGATTTTAGATTGAGCTTTGAAATATTAGTTCGGGTGGAACTATCCAACGAATTCTAATAACAGGCTGGTATTCAAATCAAACTGTATTATTCAGTAAAAACAAAAGCGTATAAGGAACAATTAGAGTGAATTAATAATATGTGCAAACTATCTGATTGCACATTATCTAAAACTTTAAAATCGGTCCATAAGACACATTTGGGGGCGCGGTATGATTTTATCCATGTTTCTCTTTCTTCTCTGCAGGTGTTTGGGCCAAGAGAACTATCAAGAGAGGAACAGTGTTTGGTCCATTTGAAGGAGAAAAGAAGAGACTTCAAGACGTGGAGGATGATACTTTTAGCTGGGAGGTACGGTTGGATATTTGAATTCGAATACAATGAAAATTGTTACATTAAAAATGTAAAATAAAGTTAAAATGAAATTGAAATTAGTCATTCGAATCTTAACAGTTTCTTGGTTTCCAAACACGGCGACATATTGGTTTTATAATACAACTAGTTTTAAGCATGGTTATTTATTGTTCAACATAAACCAAATTCCTCGTAAATCATTCGGGTGAAATTGAAACCATCGTCGTTTGTTTTATTTCGTTTATATAACAAAGTGAAGGTACATTTATCAGGAATACACAAACACGTTTTCTATTATAAGCGATGTCGAACACGGAATAAATCTTTCCACATGTGTCTTTGCAAAATACATTTGATAACAGTTTCGTTAAGTCTGTGCTTCTCTATTTATGCTCGTGAATTTGCTTAAGAAGACCTAAACATTCAGAGCTGAGGCAAAGGTCAAGAAGCTGTTAGCAGATAAAGTTGCTTGGCACTAAAACTAAACAAAACTAGAGCTTCGCGTTTGTTGAGTTACAAACGCAGAGTGGTCGGGCGGACAGCCTGTCCATTATACACTGCCCAGTTACATATGTTTATGTAGAGCAAAAGATCACGAAATTTAATCCCTCTCAGTACAATCAATTATTTTGTTACAAAAATGTGTCTTTAAAGGTGTGATAATTTTCAGTAAACATTCTTTGTGCGCATAAATATTAGTTCTAGTTTGATGACGTCATCAGTCAAAAAGTGAATACTAATAAAGTTTGGAGAGGATAAATTTTCATTGTTTAGTTAAAATAACGTATGAAAATATGGGAAATATAATTGTATGCATTAATAACACCTAACTTCCGGTTTGATGACGTATTAATAACACCTAACTTACGATTTAATGACGTCACAGCATAAGAGATCCAAAGGTGAACATTGCAATGGATATCATTATTTGGACTACGAAGACATGACAGGGATCAAATGATAGAATTAAATTAAAAATATGATACTTTTCAAATTTTCCTTAAAGTAACTTCTGGTCTGATGACGTCATGCATTTGAAACCTTGCCAAATTATCTGTGGTTACCAGAGAATATCAAGGGGCGATTTGGTAATATGTGGACGGATGGTTTTAAAATTAAAGAAAGCAAACTCTATATTATGTGCCGCTAGGGAGCGCCCTTTCAGATGATGACGTCATCACACTGTTTTTTGTGTGTGGTATTCCTCACTTAACACTTTCATAATTTATATGTGTGTAGTAAAATGCTTCCGCTTTTAAGTTATTTTCGGATTTTATTGCACTTCCGGTAACACCGGAAGTGAAGGTCAAGCGGTTTTGTATCCGGGGACAAGAAATGTTTGGCACGGCATAGTCTACAACGTCACGAAAAAACGAACACGATACTCTATTTAGTTCAAAAGATATAGCGCAAACTATTTTGTCAAAATTTGGCCTTAAATCGCTTGCAATTTGATACCTGATGACGTCATGATGACGTAACAAAGATTATAACATCACACTAGGTTTTATGATCATAGCGTTCACATTTTTGGAAGAAATTGTGCTTTGTTTTTATTTCAGGCTAAAGTCTTTATTTTGAATTCACGTAACTTTGACCTTCCGGTAGACCCGGAAGTAAAGGTCAAGCGAGTTCACGTACGCGACAAAAAATGTTTATCAACTACTGGTCTATCTGATTACAAAGTTAGAACATAATTGGTTATTTTGTTTAAGAGTTATAGGTGAAAGTAATTGGCCACTTTTTCCTCTAAAATCGCTTCTAATTTGACACCCGATGACGTCATCGTAACGTCAGAGTAATATGCACCACTTGGGATGAGGGTCGATATATGTTGCAAGTCACAAGTTCATATCATAAACCGTCTAGGAGAAAACCCGCGGAGAAGTATTGTCCGGAATAAAAAGATGGAAAGAAAGAAGATTTATGCGAACAATTCCAGACAGTGGTCGGGTTGTGCCCGACCACTCCAAAACTCAAAAACCAGCCAAAAATAACGTCATGCGATGTAAATTGCTCCTGACTGATGTTCTGCTGATTTTTTTTGCTAAGCACATTGAAAAGTAAGATTTGTCTGCTTGCTCCATAAAATTACGTCCAGCTTTTCGGCGTAAATCATTGTTTAACAAATTCTCTTGGTTCTACGGCACTGGAGAGAACTCCTCATAAGCATAAAGCCGGATACTCAACTCTCCTAATTAAAACGTTTTGCTTTAATCGCTGAATTTGTGCAGCGAGGAAATATACTTTGACGCCATTGCTACCTATTGGTTGTTCTCTATCTAAAAACCTGCCAATTAATCGAAATAAATTCAAATTTGTTGTTGCATTTATATAATTTTGTTATAGCATAACTCACGAATCTTTACTACTTGTATTTAACAACGTTGTGTGGGTATGAATGATTATTTTGTAAAGATTGTACTTAAAATTAAGTGATTTTCTCTGACTGTGCCTCACATTACGCCAAACTCGAACTTATTTTTTAGTTTATTGAAACATTGTAGCTCAAAAATATATTGGAACAAAAATCACTTGAATAGAAATATCCTAAGCTATTGTAAATTGAGTAATACGGTGATAATTTAGAGCCTTGTACTTGTTCGCAAGAATTGAAGGTATAAACTGTTAAAGTATCAACACGTATATTTTTGGTATACCTAATACTAGATTCGTGGTCCCAAAGGGCGTCGTCTGTATTGCATCGATGCAGCTGATCCCAACAAGGGTAACTGGTTGCGTTATGTAAAGAGCGCTCGATATTACGAAGAACAGAACATCCTGGCCGCACAAGAAAAGAAAAGCATCTTCTACAAAGCTATGAGGGTAAGACGCCGCTGGTTATTTTCTTACTTCAATGTCCTTTTATTATATTTCAATATTCCTTTATTTGTTCACCTTACGTCCACAGTATATCCGCAATATTCATCTCTTCTTTTGTGGTTAGTGGTAATATTAGATATTCTCTTTCAATTTTGGAAAGAATCGGTCGACGCGATCTCCTCAGTATGACCGTAGGCCTTTTGGTATAAAAAGATTTCGAATTTCCTGCCTTTTCAAGAAAAGGTTATCCCATCCTCCAACACAAGTCTCTGTGATAGAATTGAGTGATGACGATTTAGTCGATAGGCCGTAGTCAATGTTTCCCCGAGAAAACATCCGCATGATGAACAAAATCGACTCAAAATTAAATCATGATAAAGTCACGATATTTGTCAAAACCAAGGCAACTCCGATGTTATTGTCAAATCATTGTAGCTTTATACTTTCAGATGTCTCCATAAAGACAAAGATGTACTCTCTTCATGCTATGATCGAGCTTCGATCCGATTTTTGTTTCTTTAAACTTCGGGCAGTTCCATGGTGTTGCATGTACATTTTGGCTAATTAAATCGTGTGCATAAAAGTTTTAATCATAAAGTGGGTTTTAATTTTGATAAAACATACCAGTTACTTACAAGGATTAGAGAAAAATCCATCTGACGTTTTCCACAAGTGTGAAATCTCAGCTTTATAGCTGATTTCAGCTTTTTTGTTTTGGATTTCAGCTTTTTTCCCCTCACTTGCTGTGTACAAAAGTATAGGAGATTTCCAAAGTTCAGCTATTTTACACCTTTTTCAGCTGTTTTCAGCTATTTTTATCAGTGGTCATTCACACCCCTGGTTTTCGCTGAAGTAGACATTTTTTGTGAACTTATTAATAAATGCTGCAGTTATTAACAGCTGAACTGTTGAACTTAGTTAGAAAGAAACTATATTTCAATGAAATACAAATAATTAACTTCAAAATGATATATATGTTTCATTTGTGGCATTTAGATTTTATGAATATTTTTCTACTGAGATTTATAATTCCATGGAATTGCTCATATAAAGTTAAGTTTTGCATGAGACATCAAACGACTAACATTCCGTCCACTTTTATTAAATAAATAATCACTTTAGAAATTTCGTGGTTATTTTTGGGATGCGGACACCGAAAATATAATTTTCGTTTAAAGGATCCATGAAATATTTTTTTTCTGAAAAACACATTTTGTGCTACTTTCTACTCTTCTATAAATGTATGAAAACTATTTGACATCCCTTTTTGGTTTATGTTATTCAAAAGTGCACTTCTTTAAACTTTTAAAATTGTCTATGCTTTTTTGGACAACTGAGGGCGCTGTTGCCGTGATGTCATTTCAGGGAGACACTGTTCAGTTTAAGGTTTTTTAGTACAAATGTGAATTCCAAAATCTGCTCATTGATAACATTTATGAGAAAGGTTTGTTCATTGGCTTACCGCCATGTACTAACACAACAACAAATCATCGAAGAAAAGAACATTTTCAACAGCGAAATATCAAAAAATCTGGCAACTTTTTTGCTCAAAACCAATTGCAACATTGAGGTTTCTGCCTGGTAATCACGTTTTTGCTAATAAATAGGGAAATTTGCATTAGCATAAAAACCAAAAAGGCACCCAAATTCCCTTGAAAACGGCAAAATGAAAATCGAAAATAAGATTATATGGGACACAAAGGTGCATTTTCAAGAATTACATTAAAAAGAAATACATTTCATGGGCCCTTTAATATAAATCGTACGAGTTCAATATTTGTCGAGAGAAATGATGGAATTTATTAAAGAGCACCGGGAAATCAACTTTATACATTGCATGGACTTGCCTCTCTATCCGCAGGATATTCCCCCTGGCAATGAACTCTTGTGCTGGTTCTCGACGGGCTACGAACCTAAAGTCTCGCCACGTAAGGAAGCCAATGATGAAACCAGTGAGGAAACACGGCAAGGTACTGAATCAGAACCAGAAACAGAGCTTGAACCAGATCCAGAACCCGAACCACAACCAGAAAAGGAACCAGAACAGGAACCAAAGCTGGAGCAGAAGCAAGAACCAGATCCGGGACCAGAACCGAAACTTGAGCCGGAACCAAAGCCGGAAACAGTACCAGAACCGCAACTAGAGCCAGGACGGGAGCCGGAACCAGAACTGGAACGAGAACCAGAGCCAGAGCCAGAGCCTGAGGTTGGCCAGACTTCATCCTCACCTGGCAGCAACCCGCTGGCTATTGCACTGGGAGGAATCCAAATCACCAACGTGGTCTCACTAGCAAGCCCTGAGAATGTGGCAGAGTTCACTGCAGATAATGCAAATGGTACGATTGTATAGATTATGTAAAGATGTAGCCAAAGTCATCCCAAGTCAATGCCAAGTCAATCAGTTCAATCATATGTCAATCACATGTCAATCACATGTCAATCACATGTCAATCGTATGTCAGTCACAAGTCAATGACATGTCAATTACATGCCAATCGCAATGTCAATCACATGTCAATCACATGCCAATTACATGTTAACCAGTCTTGAGTCATGTCACAAGCTGTTCAAATGAACTGTCATTCATAAATACCTCAGACAGTTTAGCCATTCCTATTGGTCGAGAGCCCGTCACGTGGCCGGTATTAAACGGATGATAAAGACATGGCTAGCTGGTCTTAAACACTTTTCCAGTGTCACAATAAAATGTGGACTCCTAAAAATCCAGTGCCTCTTATCGTTTCATTGGTTGAACGTTCACAATCCTCACGTAGGCATGCGCAACACTACTAGGGAGTCAGAATTTTAAAGTTCTAAATTCAAAACGCAACGCGCCAGGTGCGTTCTGCGCGACATCGCGTAGAACATGATACGCGCGCGTCAATCTCCATAAAAGGGTTGTTTTCATCTTACTCGCCAGCTGAACACTCCATTATTTTGCAGGAGGGATGTTTCAAAAAGCATAAAGTGAATTTGTTGAACAAAATCGGGATGTTTTGAACGAATTATATGATTTTTTTTTACCGAAAAGGTATTTATGAATGGGAATAAATATGTACTCCGTCGGTATTTATCACTCTGTTTAATACCACTTAGAGTCTGGGTGCTGATAATTACCCTCGCCTCCGGCTCGGGTAATTATCAGCACCCAGACTCTAAGTGGTATTAAACAGAGTGATAAAAACCTCCGGAGCACACATTTATTCCCTTACAAAAGCATAGTTGTTATGGCCCGACCCGTGAATTGCCTTCTTACAGTTACAGCGCTGATATTTTTATTTGCAATCGTAGATCGGGAAACCTAAAAAAAAATACAGAATATAGGTTTTCCCAGCTATCTTTAAACGTTATTGATTCAAATTCATCAATTCTAATACCATCGATTTACTTCACTTTTAATATTTAATTTTGTCCCCGTTCGCTTAACTTCCATTCTAGTACCTACAAACATAGGTACACACACATTCATTATAGAGTATTCGATTTCGTCTCGTCTACAGCAAACGAAATATTGTAAAATTATTTTCAATATCGTCATACGTCTGTGTCTGCAGTAGATAGCAACATAAAATGTAGGCCGATATGGAAATGATTTTACACTTTTTTTTCTTTCCTTCTCGTTCATGTCGTTGCTCTTGATTTTGTTTCTTTTACGCTAGACGAATGTGTCAAAGTGAGCTTGTCGAAACAAAGAGCTTTACTTCACACCAGACTAATTCAATTAACAACACTATCATGATGGACAAAAGTCGACTTCCATTTTTGCATGCTGCCATTCGGCAACATATGCGACGCATTCAATCAATATTGACGAATATTCATGACCTATAGCGCTTAAATAGGTTAAACAAACTTTCAAATGGCTTGATAAACGAATAATTGGATCTTGCTAAACTCTTCAGTGAATTCAGAATTGGTGAACTAGAATTATTAACGTTCTAAAATAGTTGGGAAAACCTATATTAGCTCATTTTATTAACGAATAGGATTTTTTTTAATGCACGTTTGTATTTTCAGATGTAGTCTCGATTTTTTTTGGTGTACCAAAATTTGCCATTCACGAAAAAAATACTACATCGAATGAAAAATGGAGAAGAGATGTTAACGTTTTTTCCGGAGCTACGTTTCATGTAGGGAGTTTTAGCCTATGGTTTGTCTTTAAAACTTTATCAAGGAAAGTTCCATTGCCAGTGTGAATAATTGTTTCGATCCTTTGCTCACGCGGGTTCCAATCTTTGGAAAAAATTGTTTCTCGCCATGATTCATACTCTATCGGTATCAGAATTTAAAGTTAGCCCGCCTGTGGTCGAACGAGTGAGTGAGTGAGTTTTCCTGAAGACTTACTTGTTCCAGAATACCCAAAATATTTTGGTATAGTTATATTTAATTGTTTCGATTTTTCTGATTTGTTCTGATTGTATTGCACCATGAGCGTCTTTTTTGGCGGATACCGGCGCGTTATAAATGTCCATTATTAGTAGTATTTTTATTAATTAAATTGTGTTAGAGAAATTCTGATCCCAGACAGGACGTTCTCCAAGGAAACCACGACCAATAAGATAACATACTTGGCATTCCAAAAAAAAAAAGAGTCTACGGTTTGTAACTAACATCGTTCATTCTCAGCCTCGGCGTCTGACTGACATAATTTTTTTTCGCTTTCAGAATCGACAGAGGGCGCTATCCGAATGCCGGTCCTCGAAAAGATCAACAATCAACAGACACGAGACGTTGAGGACGCTACTCAGCATGGTCCCATCGACATACGGATCTCACCCACAAACCGTAGCTCATGCGGCTCGCCGCCTTTAATATCCCCGATGTTCAGCAATAACATTGGAGACGCACAGGTGGCTAAAGGCGTTGTGAAGGACCGTGAAGATGGGAACGGTTCAACTAAGAAACCCGTGGACGAAAACGGGAGAGTTGGTAAAGTAGTTGAAAGTGTGAGTTTATTGGGATATAACATAGGTGAAGAAGAGTCAAACAGTGCATCGTCCAATGGAGAGCCTTCACAGTTGGTTAAAATTGGAGAAAAAGATGATGAAGTTGGCATTAATGGCGGGAGAGAAGCTGAGAAAGAGGAAACCAAGACATTAGGTCAGTTACCTATGCCGACCATCGTCATGGCGACAAATGAGTCCTCAGAAGACATATTGTCCATTGGATGCTTTTTAAGAAATCCCAACCACATGGCGAAGAAGGTTGATTTCCTTCCCACCACCAAATACAAAAAGAACGTTATGAAATGCCTGACGTGTGGACAGCTCTTCCAGAACGTAGCCGATCTCAGAATTCATTTCGTTAACAATACAGGTGTGCCTGTTAAAAGGCGACGGAGGTTTAAAAAAGGAAGCAAAAAGGTAGTTAGTAAAAGTGTTATGACAACTAAGATCACGCCCGATAGGCCTACTGGGGAACAGACCAGTGCCAATGATAATGGCAAAGAGGTCGGTAACGATAACGAAGGGAATGGAGTGAATTCCATCATTCACGATAATGCGATGGAAATTCAAAATGCATGTACCAACGACGAATCTACAGCGTCGGAGGTCTTGCCCTCAGTACAACTCGATCCAGAACCGAGTACCTTGGAGGACCACATGAACCCAGAGGTGGTCGTACCAGCAGCACCCTTACCTAAAAAGCTTGTGTGTTCCTGTGAGTTCTGTGAGTTGACATTCGACAGTTTCAAGTCCCTTGATACCCACGTTCAGGCTCACTATACAGGCCAGCTGCCGTACAAGTGCAAAATGTGCAAGACGGAAACCAACACCCTGGCGTCCATTCACGCTCATATAATATCGCACCAAATGAGCGTCGAATCTCAGCCGAGCTGTGATCAAGTGACAGAGGTGGTCGACACGGAACCAGGTCACAACGTGGACCAAGGTTCCGAGGGGAGGATTGAGGAATTGCAGGGTCGACCATCTCGCCATTCCCAACGTATGCCCAGGCCGTTCGGCAGACGACGGCACTTTCAAAAACCTATAAAATCTCACCGCATGGCCAAACCGCAGGAAGTGGCAGGGATTTATGCAATCCCGCTCGAGGCATCCCAAGTCAAGATCAAAAAGGTGAAGGAAAAGAAACGGCACATCAATAGAATCTACCCGTGTAGCTTGTGCAAAAAGATGTTTGCATCATTACCTAATGTCTATCGACACAAGCGAGTCTTGCACGGAATTACTAACACCAGGAGGAGAAGTAGAATGAGATTGACACAGATTATTCAAGAAGGAGAACAGTCTCAGACGAATCCCGAATCTACCACAACGATGGTGGGTGATCAGAGAGGACCAGTACCTCAAATGCAAAACACTAGCCCTAGTGATGATTCGTCAACAGAGGGCGTTCTTGCCGTGCCTACTTATAGTCAGGTACCCTCTAACACGTTCGTAACTAACACACATTCACCTACAAATTTTTACGTCTTCGGCGGTACAAAGCGAGTGAGACCCATCCTGCCTGCACCAACCACGGTTGTGGGAACCAATAATCCTTTAGTAAGCATGCACACTGTGGTGTCAAAGGTGCCTCTCACTTCTTCATACCAGCAAAATGTGACTCCCGTCATGATCTCTACTTCTGGTTGTCCCAATGATGTCACTGATGACGCAACCAGGGAATTCGGAAAACAACCAGAGTATTCTCAGAGCCTGTCTTCTGCTAGCCAAGCCATCAGCATTAACTCCGTGAGTCAAATCAATGCAGAATCGGACCAAGTTGGACTTGAAGATCAAACACAGTCTGGTCCTAATATGCAAAGTTACCACTCCGCTGAACAGGTAGTCCAGGCTCCACACAAGTTGGTATCAAATTACGGAGAAAAGCCTGTAGCTATTAACGTTTCTGGATATTCGGGCATCGTACCAAAATACCAGACCACAGAGGATATCTACCAAGACATGAATATACGTCAGTTTTCTGTTGTCAGTCCGCAGTATGCCAATACGCCGTCAAATCAGAACTACCCTCCCACACAGACCGGTCCGTGTCCAAACACTTCATCCCCTAGTCCAAACGAGGGAACTCTTGCTTCGCATCAACAGCGTTCATTCCCGAAGGACAAAGTTTTTGCGCCTAAGCCGACCATCGGCAACCCGAGCGCGAAATCTCACAATCCGCTCCCTTTCATCCCGACAAAGGATCTGAAGGTAACGACACATACTTCCAGCATGGGAAATTTGGACACGTTTGGAGCAATGAACCTGGCTACCAAAAGGCCGTTTGCTCAACCTAGTGGCAACGAATCTGCTTTGGATTTAAGCCTTCCAAAGAGAATGCGACTCGACTCCAAAGAGGTTGCAACGATTCCTAAGAACCAACCTCCAGAACAAACAGTTCCTTTGGACCTTAGCAAGAAAGCGACAAGCATTCAAAGTAATTCTTTCTCTGCCAACGATGGTTTCAGAAACACAGGTGCGATGTCAACACAACTCCAGAGGACTTTAGATGTGGTGAATGCTCAGGCTGCCTTACAAGTTCAATCACGCAAATCAGATCGCAACAAATTACAGGTGGTTTCAGCTTCACCAGGGCATAGCCGCTACTCCATCGAAGCTGAAATTAAGCCAGCATCCATATCTGCGACGATGAAGAAATCAAGCATCTTATACCCATTACAGAAGAAGGCATTCTCGCCTCCAAACTTCACAGTAACACCAGTATCCCACGACGACAAGCAAACCTCATTCCAGGCCATTAACCCGAAGCAACCCCCATCTGTACCATCAACAATGTACAGTAAACGCCCTGCCTCGATTGAGCGTAGCCCCAGCAGTCGTCAAAGTGACGTCATCCAAAGTACAACTGTTGACAGTTCCATCCAGAAGACATTCAAAGACGAGAGTGATCTGCCCTTACTTGTAAGCAATAAGATAGACTTTGCATGTAATGTGTGTGGTGTAATCTTCCCTTCCATAGCGTCTATGAGCACACATGTCATTGAACACGCCCAAGATTGGCCCTACAAGTGCGAGTTCTGCGTTTGGCTCTTTCAGAGTCCAGAGAAACTTGCTGCCCACAGAACCCAACACCACCACGTCAAGAAGATGTACGCATGTGGTGTCTGCCGTAAAGACTTCGCCTACAAGTCTAATCTCCAAAAACACCAGGTGGACTGTCATGGACTAAAGGAATATGTCTACAGAGAGTTGAACCCAGGGGAGTTACGCCCGCTTAATTTCACGGACCCAAGAAGGGCTTGCCACTCCCAGGCCTCAGCCAGCACCCAAGTCCAGCAGCCAGCAAGGGTGTCGTTCATTGCTCAGGAAATGAGCAAACTCAGTCCTCTAAAAATAGGCAAATTGACGATTCCAGTCAAGACATCCTTGCTGGGAGCTTCACTCGTAAAGAGCAAAACTGTGTCCCGGAAACACGTTCCCCTTAATCCGCAGAGGCACCATCCTTTTGCTCACGCGCGCCAAATTGGGTACCTAAGTATGCTTGCTGACCCAAAGAATCAGGAACAGCTGAGCGGCACGTTGGTCAACAGGTGCACCAAGTGTGAGAAAGAGTTTGACAGTGTGGCTGATTTCCATAAGCACATAATGGAATGTGCTGCAAAACTACAGACGACTCAAGCCAGTGTCGAAGGACCAAAAGCAAATCAAGAAAGCAAGATACATGAAGCCCAGCCAGCACCATCAACACCGACAGAGAAAGTGTTGAATCCAAGCAGCCGCAAACCCAAACCTGAACCTAATCAACAAATGAAATCAAACGCCTCAGACAAGCCAAAGAGGGCAAAACCTGGCTTGAAGATCTACAACCCGATGAAATACTCCCGCCGGGAACCGGCAGCCAACATGGACGACATCCACACCTGTCAGGGCTGTGGGAAGAAATTCTACTTCATCAACAGGTTGGAGAGGCACATGAGGATGTGTCCCAATCGGGATAAAATTAAACTTACCCAGATCCTTCAAGTAAGACAGATGACAAAGCTTACTGAGGAGACTCTGCTCAATTACAAACACCAATGCCCCTTCTGCAAGCATCACTACACATACCTGAAGAGTTTGAAGAAACACGCATTGGTATGTCAGTTCCGTCCTGCAGATATTGTAGATCCATTGAAATATATCGAGGAAAACTCGAAAAACAGTACAGAAGTTTCCCGAAGTGGTCGTAACAAAGAAGAAGCTCCCATGTCAGTAAACGAAGGACATTCAGGTCCAAGAGCTAGTTTAGAGGCTTGTGCGGATGGCCCTCGAAAACAGGACAAAAGATCTAGTAAGGAGTCGATATGGAAATTGGAAGCAAATAACCAACAAGAATCAGAAGGAAACAGTGAACCAGCCCAGCGTTTTGCAGTTGTCGAAGGGGAAAGTTACACCGCACCAGGTAACCAACTGCGTCGCTCAACACCATCTTTCCAACTGCGGTTGAGACGTATGAGCGTTGGTTTAAAAAAGGGGGAGAAAACACATGCTGTTGCTCAGTGGAGCTTGGCTGCCCCCAAAAGCAGTGAAACAGCAAGTCCAGAGCAGGCTGCAGCTGACAGTTCAAGTCATGCTTTGAAGAAATACCCGATCAGGGAAAGGTGTCCCTCCATGACAATGGGTTACGGAGAATTATCTCATCTTTCAAATCAAATTAAGCGTCGTCGAGGGCGGAAAAAGACAGGAGGTCCGCTTAATCAAGTTGTAGGTGCTTCAAAAAAACGAGGACGAGGAAGGGGGAGAGGAAGAGGACGCGGTAGAGGCGGTAGAGGTGGTGGAGGCTATAGAGGAGCAAAAAAGCAGGGAGCTTTCGTGACAGAGTCTAGACGGATGGGAAGTGACAACGAAGAGGTAACAGACGAAGGACCATCGGCAAGAGGCAGAGGTGGGAGAGGTCGTGGAAGGGGGTCGTATAGGGGACGGGGTCGAGGACTTGTTAGGGGAAGGGGAAGGGGACGGGGACGAGGGAGGGGGCGTGGTAGAGGCGCAGGGAGAGGAGCAGGTGTAAATGGAACAGGTAGGATGCCTTTGGAAGCTAGACAGATGGGCGAGGAGGTGAATGCAGACAGTGATCACGTTAAATCGCACGAGCTGCTTGTTGACTACGCAAATTCCGGAGATGAACATCCACAAAACCAGTTGGAGACTGAGTCTACTATGAATGTAAGACAAGACAAGGATGAGACAGACGGGAAAAGGAGAGAACAAGATGGAGAATTGGTTGATAAGACGGCTAATCAGGATGATTCTGTTGTCAAATATCTTGAGGAGGACGAGGAACATTTGAAGCAGTCAGAAAATAAGCCAAAAGGTAGTGTTGACGCCACGCCCGTTTCTTCAGAAAACACAGAGTTCCAGTCACAGCAAGCATTTCAGTCGGGCCTCCCAGACAACAAGACGTTGACGGAAGAGGTAAAGGGTAGCGTAGACAAGACGGCAACTCTGGCAGATCCCATTTCAGCTATCATGAGAAAGGCTGATGGCGTACTTCAAGACGTCACTGGTATCCACCTTGGAGATATTGCACGGAGCGAGGGAAATAGTTCGGGACCGGTTGGAACTGTTCGACTGCAGGAGAGTGACGCAAACACGACACTGACGTTGGTCGTTGAATTGCGCGGCTAGTCAATTTTGGAGGTTTTTGAAATGCTGTCCTTGTGACGACTTCGGCTTCAACTCTGGCTATAGAGTGTAATTTCGGAGCGAAGCAAGTGACATTCTTCATACCTTTGGCTTCATTCTGTTTGATTTGATATTCCAAAAGTAGATCCTGTATTCAGCCACAGTCATCTAAGGCAGGATTTTAAACTCTCCCAAGCCGGACACGAAACGAAAACCGAGATTTCGAAAATGTCAAATGCAAATCTTGTGAGTCAGATAAATAAAGCATCCCACCAGGGCCCAATTTCACGGCGCTGCTTAGCACAAAAATAGTCTAGCTTATAAAAGCAGGTAACCATCCAAAACTCCACGTGATGTATATTGCTCGTGATCAGTATTCAGCTGTTGTTTGCTTAGCATGAAAATCACATGGAGTTTTGGATGGTAACCTGCTTTTATAAACCAGACTTTTTTGTGCTAAGCAAATTTGTGTGCTTAGCAGCGCCGTGAAATTGGCCTCATGTCTGTCCGGGATGGAATGTTCGATCCCGTACGCATCAGAGAGAGAGAGAAAAACAACTGTTTAAATCTAAATTGTGTTTAATTTCATATGCATGATACGCATGTATAAACTTCCATTATTGTCTTCCTTTTTATACGAAACAAAATAAATATTAGTAATTAGTACAAAATGACTGGATTTTTTTTCAGTTTCTTATGATTTCATTCTAATTTCATGTAATAAATGTAGGTTGTAGTGCACTGCTTGTTAAGAGGTTTGCCTGCTTTTAATGTCGGGCAAAATGCTTGAAAAGGATCTTTAAAATGGTTACATTTACCGATTAAGTAAGTCTAATGTAGTTTGGCAGTTAGAAGTTAGGTAGACGTTAATCTCACACCGGTGCCACACACAAGACAGAAAGGATGCCCACACAATCCAGAAGGGATTTACTTGGAATGAAATATCCAAACTGAGGGGCAACCTTATATTTTCTGTGGACTTCTTTCGCCCAAGTGCAGTAGTTTCGATAAAATTGCAGCCCAACTGAAGAGATTTAAAGGGAATGTACAACATTGGCTTTTGCTGCTATTTTCAGAAATAAATGGATTTGGAGGATTAGTATGTTTTAGCAAATATTGTTAAACTGACTTGTTTCACGTTTTGGGCTTATAGTTGCTTAAAAAAAACCTAGAAAACCAATTATGTGCTCGAAGTCTGGTTCCCTGACCCACTTAAGATGAAATGGAGCAATTTACAGACTTTGAGGAAGTGTGCGGTCAGAGTATCTATTTGCTTGTACCCGTTCACAGTTGTGTAATCTAATTGCAAATAAACTGTGGAATAACCAAATATAAAAAATATGGAGTAGTTTTTGAAAATAGCTAGTTTTCTCCAACGCTGGTCGGCCGACCAGTTTTGGAAAAATACAATTTTTATTGAAAATGTCAGCACACCAGGAGTCACAATTTTAAAGGATGCTTTAGACTGTAATTCTCTAACAATCCAGTAAGGTATTTCGTGATAATTGGATCATTTCGTTTTTTGATGTTTGCAAATTTTGTATCTTCCCTTTAACGGTGTTTGTAGTTGTAAATGTAGTTTGCAAAGCTTGTTGAGTAAAATTCATTTCTGTTCTATATTTCCTAAACAACAGAGACTATAGACCGGGCACGCTATCAATTGTACCACGAAGCCCCCTATCAATGGCGAAATAATTGCGCTAGCTATGTTTAGATAATCCGTCATGGGTAGTAGCTTGTACGCCACTTGGTCACACAATGTTTTCGCCACTGAAGGGGGCCACGTGTTTGTACAGTGATCACGTGATCGGCCGTATCGGCTATAGACATATATATGTGGGCATTATACATGTACATACATTAATTTTATGAAATCGCTGCACGCACGTATTGTGCTATAGTTATTGTGTAAAACAACTGCTCCGTGGCGGTTCTGAATAATGGACCTTTTTAGTAATAAATTCATAATTATGCACGCATGCGCATAAATGGACCTGGTCGCAAAAATCGAAAGCTGTCCATTGAAAAAGTACAGGACTTCAAGCATTCGCGTCTTTCTCTCTCAATTTCTCCAGGATTTGTCACTTTTTTCTTCAGAGAAAGCAATGCCTTATGGAGATTGAACGGGTTTTTATAAAGAAAAAAACAGCGACAAATCCTGGAGAAATTGAGAGAAAATTACCCGAATGATTGTAGCCCAGTACTTTTTCAATGGACCGTTTATGCGCAAGCGTGCAAATTTATGAATTTATCAGAAAAGAAGGTAAATATTGGTACAATTAATGATTCCATCATTACGTAAGATAAAAGAGAGTTTACGGACTACAATGACTGTGAAGATGGACTGGTCTTTTAGTGATTGAATCTTGTAAATAGTTCTGGGCCCTATCAGTTTGGAAAAGGGTATAATCATTACAGTTCATCGGGTCCTCAAATTCGTTTACTTATCTTGAAATGTTCGTAGATTTATTAAAATGAGATTATTCAGTGCCTTTCAAGTTATATTTTGTAATACGCATGAGCGTGGATGCAGATACAATATCCAACAATGCTCATATGTTTATTAAATTTGAATTTGTTTTTTGCTTATAACAGAAAACGATTACGTAATGTAAAAATAAATAGAGGGGGGTTCGCATCGCAACCGTCACACAAACATATATGCAAAATCAAAAGAGAAAAAAAGTAGATTAAGTGTTGACGCAATAAAAAAAGTTCACTAATATTCATGTGCCAGTATACCAAATTTTACAAAATAATTGTTTAATCATTACTTGAAAGGGTTGCTTTATTGCTTCGAAGCATTTAAAGTTTTCGCATAGATTTAGAACACCAAAAGGATTTTAAAAAAATGACATACATGGACATGTAAATTACTTTTGAAATTTAAAACACGTACAACTTATTTGTTGATGAACGTTCATCTTAATTACGCTTCACACTATATCTTAATGTTAATTTTTTAATCATTAACGTTACACATACCTTTATTTACAATTAGCTCTGTTTTGTAAGTTGTATTTCTTTTGTAGGCTATAACCAACGTACTTTAGTTTAAACCTTGCTTTGTTAGTGCCGTATACGATTATTTACGCAATGTCTGTGGCAACCACGTTTGCGGTTCAATAAAATTCGAAGCTACCAAAATACAACTGTACGTCAATTCCTTGGTATGGATGTCTGGGCTCAATATTATGGCGCTGCTAAGCACACAATGTAATGCTAACAAAAACTGTGTCTGTTTCATGAAGACCGTAAGCAGTAAAGCACGCCAACAAAACACGCTTACCTCGGAGAAAATAAAATTGCTTATTAGGTAATTTTACAATATAAATCTCCATGCGCTCATGAACTAAATAGTGCTTGAGATGTAATAGCACTATTAAACTCCGACAGGAGTGTCTGTTTCTACATGTTTCTTGGTGCTCGGTCTGGCTGTCCCCGGAAAATTGACCACAATATGGCCCCGTAAAGTTTCCCACAAAATATAGCTATCAAATTATAATAATAAAAAAAAAGGAAACAAATAAATACTTAACAAAATTGTTAGTAACAATTGGGAAAGATGTTAAGAACAGTTTGTAAATGGAGGCAAAATGTGTGCATTCATGTTATAGTCACGTGGTATTTATCACAAATCGACATCTTCTAGTATGGTGTTCCATCGCATTTTCAGCTCTGGCAGGGATCATTTCATGCAAGACTTTCATGTAAGACGGCCAGAGCTTATTCTTCACTCGCACTTGTTTTGCTATTAATAGTAAGCACAGTTTTTTCTGCTATAACTGTTCAGCAGCGCCGTGAAAATTATTGGGCCCAGTGTTTTAAGCTTTTTTTGTTGGTATACAATAAACTCAATATTTGCAAATAAAACTGCAAATAAAACTGTATAATGAGGCCTCGTAGCCGGGTGGTTAGAGCACGGAGTGGAAGGTTGGCGGTCGAATTCCATTCGGACCAAAAACTGGAAAACTCTCTCTGACGACCCAACAGTGGAAACGAGGGGTACCCAACCTCGTCCCCAGTGCTTACTTTATTTCCAACCGTGTTTCCAATAGTAAACCCTGGATAGTAAACTTTTTCCCTGTATCCTGATTCGATATCGCAATATTATTGGCTAGTAATGGATTTTTATCGTGTACTTGATGTTGTTATTCACAACGTGCAGAACGTATTTTCACGATCATTCGTCCACGCCTTCTCAAAAACATTCCTTTCCTTTTCCAATTTGTTCATATTTATATGAAATGTGATACTGCATGTTGTCTCGATAAGATCGTAACAGTTTAATTAAATAAATCGCGTTTTCGTAACTCACGCCGTGCTCGCGCTGCGACGAATTGACTCTGTTTTTACCCCAGACACCGCATACACTAACGAACGATAATGTAACGCACATGCAGGCACCAGACTATTCCTCATTTGCATACGTGTTCAAAAATCTTGCACATGCAAATGATCCAATACCAGGGTGAGAGAGCAGGTAGTGATGGGCGCGTACTGCTCGACACCCTGGGGTCGAGGTTGAGGGGTACCTGATTCGTTCAGGGAAGGTAAGACGGCGAGAGGAGAGGACTGGGCACCGCCGCTCATAATGCCGCGCCCATTGGAAGAGTGGACCTCCAGCATCCCACTGCCCCTACCGCCAGTGGCTATGGGGTATACTTTACCTTACCTACGTGTAAGCCTATCTCGGTGCATTTTCCTCTCGTGCTTTCGAATTAACCTTTTGGAATTTTTAAGTCTGTCACCTAGACACCTAGAGGGCACTATTTGAAGCGGGTAAATTTGAGTAAATATAGAACTTTTGTTTGGTTGTAAAAAAATAAAAGGCATTTTGACTGCCATTTTGCATGGGCTGCCACAAGGGCATAAATTTAAGCCGTGGTCGTCAACAACTTTTGCCCCAAAATGTTGATCAACAGGCTCATTTATTAAGAGAGGAAATTGTATTCAGTCTTTATAGTAGCGTTTGTTGGTTATTACGTATTTTCAACAATCCGATGATATTCTTGCAGTGAAAATGTTAATATTGATTCTAATTTGCATATTCTATAGACCTGTATCATGCTGCCACCATTTCAGTCATGTTCCCTGTATCCAATAACAGTACTGAATGATAATGTTTTTTGTACAAAAAGGAACCAGACTATTTTTCCTTCCAGCCTCGCTTTGGTTACGTTGATTTGAATGGGAAAAATCATGATGGCTGCAACATGATAATGGTCTATAGTTTGCCAAAGTGACAACCACGGGCCGGGCTGGCAAACGAGTTTAAGTTTAGTAACTCCAAAACAGCGCCCTCTTGTTGTGTCCGCCAAACTGCCGCAACTAGACCATGCCAACAAGTTTGTACGCTCAGAATTTTAGAAAAGCCGCATCTACTAAATAAGCGTACACTGCAAAAACTGCAGTGTTAAATTTACACCATTGGTATCTATATAGGACCATCTGGTGTTAAATCTTACTGGTGTTGTCCTATATAGATACCAAATGGTGTTGAATTAACACTACAGTTTTTGCAGTGTACCGTTCGCGTTGGGGGCGGTGTTACGTTTGGATGGCCTAAATAAAATAAAAAATAATAAGTTATCCTCAATGAACCAGAGTTGACGAATGTTCACAAGAGAACGATATCATAATCTTTCATTGAGTCTCGATTGTGATTGGTACGGTCCGGAGCTTCTTGTAATGTTCACAATGTAAGCAGACATCATACAGAATGGAGCCATTATAATTGCATGCAATTATATTAAAGTTACTGAAATCTCTCTACAAATATCAATTACCTACTTGAATGCAGTGACTAAATAAGTTGTCGATTGTTTTCATTATCCAATTCAATTCAATTCAATTCAACATGGTTTATTAACAAATCACGAATAGCAGCCACAGCTGAATTGCACGTGATTTACATTAAAAAAAAACATTTAAAAAAAGTTAAAGGCCTACCGAGTTAAAAAAAAAACAAAATATGACATTAAATACTAATAGAAAAGGTTTAGACATTGTGCATACAGATCTGACTAAAGAAAATTGTCTATATAGAGAAATACAAATTATTATTACAGATTGTGTTGCAATCAATTTATCTTACTTTAAAAAGGGGGCATGACTATTTGAGCAAGAAATTGCCCCCCCCCCCTTCCAGAATAAAGGCACTGAAACGTCAGAGAGCACGGGCATTATTTTATACAAATAAACGAATGATATCAATGACATGCTTACATTTTATTTGAATGCCACTCCAGTGGATGATATCGAATCACTAAGTCCTATAATTAAGAACAGATTAACGCCACCACAAAACCCTTTTCCCGCTGTTGATAAGTTTCCGCTGTTGACAAAATTCAAGGACGGTGACTTCCCTTTTGGAGGACTCGGAAAAATCATAGGTGCCGTGATACAAAACTATGTAGGGCGATTGTCTTTACAGGTAGGTCTATATATGCCTACCGTGACAATTAAAGCAAACGGAAAAAAGGAGGGGGGAGATACAAACTACGACTGGACAATTAAAAACCAGAAAGAAACATAAATATTAAACAAGCAATCAAAAGACTTAAACGAAACAAATTTCTGTACATCACAGAATTAGCAGTTATTTTCCCCTGTTGGAATCCGGGAAGATTGAGGCTAACACAAATAGGCGAGCTCGGGGGCGTGGCCCTTGTGAAATCATTTGAGTGGAAACATAATATCAGTAATAACTTGAACACACTAACCGCATTCTTTTTTAAATGTAATTAATTTTCCATTCGCCCCGTAAATATATGTAAAAAAAATATTTTTTTTTGAACATTTACTAGGACCTACCTATACTAATGACACTGTACTGCCTAAGGCGTCATACCATACCACAACACCATACCACATTGAATGTCAATAGAACAGAACGTAATTACTTTAACAGTCGGAGGCCATCTCCCTTCCGTTAGCTTTTAAATGGTGAATGCAAAAGGTTTCAGACTTGAAATACGTGTACGTATTTCTATGTACAAAAGCATTGCAAAGCCATCACAACGTTGATGACTGTGTACGGACTACGGTAATTCACTGTAGAAAACGTGCGGAAATCCACAATTTCGATCCCCAAATCCTCTAAATCATCAACAATGCCATATCTGGAATGTACAGGTTTTTAGTGTTAGTCCCGTAGTAGCCTACATCAGTGCTTGATTTCGCAAACTTCGTCGCAAAGCGAAGGAAATCGTCGCAACATTCTGGATTTTGGGAGGATTAGTCTAGCGAGTCCCAACGTGGTGCTGTCGGCGGGGCGAAGCAACATGATGGCCCGTCGAGGATCCATGGTGCCCACGTTCCTAGTCATACTCGGATTGTTATTCTTGGGATACGTGGGTATGTCCTATTGGCAGGTCCGTAAGGCACTAGAAGAGACGAAAATCAAGGCTAGACAGCATCAGCAGCAGCAGGAATCACTGACTGCACAACTACAAGGTTTGTAAAAAAGTGATTTCTGGAATGATTTGACAATGTTTGATGGAATGATTTGGGTGTGTACAAATTAAATATGTACGTGTACACACATTCATCATGTACATGTATTAGGGGTGTAGGCGATCTTGCGAATGAAGAATGATGACTTTGTTAATGTTGGTCATGTTGGTCGTTAATGCTATTTCATCACACAAGTAACCGGGGTAACAGTTACATGTATTTTTGGCGATTGTGTAGTTTGGCCCAGTTTCCACTGGTGGGCGCGGGCATCCGGGAATTTGTATGCAGTTTTTCTTGCTCACAGACCTATGTTCTTGAAACTCAATGGTTCTTGAAACTCAATGGTTCTTGAGTCTGGAGTGCTGAAATACTGAACATTGCTGAATGGTAACACATAGCAACCGATGAAAGCTGGTGTGCTAATGAAAAGATGTTTTCATCTGTTCATTGGATGGCGTCAGCCCGCCCCCACAGTAGTACTTATATTGACATGATTGAGAACAGAAATCCTTTTGATCGTGCTCACCCAACATGAACTAGTACTTAGTTAGCAATATTTAAAACCAACAGGAGTGTCATAGGTATTATGGCATAGTTTTTATTTTTTGAGGGTAAGTTTGGGGTACGGTGATGAAGACGACAAAACGCAATACAAAAGTAAAGATGGTGATCACTACGACGCACCGTGAATGGGCAAAACTGCTTTGATTCCCATGGCATCAATCGATAAATGCGCACAAAAATTGAATTTTCGGAAAAAAATGTTGCAACCTGACGCGACTTCAGCAGTTGTGTTCAAAGTCTATGGGGAGTCAAGAAAATTTTCTAAGTATTTCCTTACAAAATTGGAAACGTTTCTCAGTCCCAGATTCATGTCTTATTACATATCATTTTTGCAATGACTGACCTTCATTGAAATGATAATATATGAAGAAAAAGTGGCGCCAGGTTGCAACATTTTTTCAGAATTTTCTACCAAACAAGAGTGTTCAAAATGTTGAGGTACGGCGATGTAGACAACAAAAACGCAATATGAAAATTAAGATGGTGATCACCACGACTTATCGTGAATGCGCAAAACCGCATTGATTCCCATGGCATGAATTGAAAAATGCGTATAAAAACTGAATTTTCTACCAAAAGATACTGTTAGAAATTGAAAATAATTAGGGTCATTAGAAATAAAAGACTGGTTAAAGGGAATGTACATCATTGGCTTTTGCTGTAATTTTCGGAAATGAACTATTTGAGGGGTTAGTATAATAGATCAAATATTGTTACACTGACATGTTTGAAGTTTTGTGTTCGAAAATGCTGGAAAAACCATGAAAAACAAAAATGTTCAAGTAGTCTGGCTCCCTGACTCCACAAAAGATAAAATGGATCAATTTATAGATGATGGAAAATTGTAAGGCAAGGGAACCAATCTAGCTGGCCTGCACCCGTTCATGAACATGTAACCAATAGCAAACAAAATTTGGACTGAAAAAAATGGTAAATTTGGAGCAGTAGTTGAAAAATAGTTAGGATTTTCCAACGCTGGTCGGCCGACCACCGTTGGAAATGTATACAAAAATACCATTTTCTTGAAAATGACTTCACACCAGGTGCCATAATTTTACAAGATGCTTGAGACTGTCATTTACCAACATCCTAGTAAGGTTTTTCGTAAAAACTTGGTAGTTTTATTTTTCGATGTTTGCAAATGTTGTATATTCCCTTTAAGTTTGCAGAAGTCATTTTAAAATAATAAAAATTCTCCAAGGACCGAAACGAAAGTGGGGCCTATAACAACACGTACTTACACAATCGCCATATTTTCTATTAAAAAATTCAATTTTACTTTTGAGTATTTTTGTCTTGCTATCACTAAAGTATCAGTATCACCGAGGTTATTAATGACAAATTTGTTATGTCAGTATAGGCCTATTTAGCTTCTTCCTGACATAAAATCATAAAGCATGAATAATCCCATTACAGTGTAGTGCCTGTACTCCTGTGCTGCCCCAAACTGGTTTCATAGATTCATGAAGGAGTGAATGCAAAGTATAAAATGCAATTTTAAGCACAAATGCTGTCTTAAATGTGGGGTTATAAAATTGTTTACGTTGAGTAAAACATTAAGATGTGTTGTATAGTGAACAAATCAACTTCATTCACTCGATTCATTTTACTTACAATGTAACTTGCTTTTTACTTAAGCTACACATTGCCAAGGCATTGAATAACTCCCAATGATTGTCTCTAGTTTACTATTCCTGTCTAAACAATTTGTGTTGAAAATAATTCCTAAAACAGTTCTAATGTTCTTCATATTTTTACATTTGTTGATAGTTGTTTATGAGCACAGATCAAGGTTGGAGAAGATTTTACAAAACGAAAAAAGCGACCACAAAAATACAAGAGAAGGTAAGTTCAACGTAGATGATGATGTCAAATTAGGTCAAATTGCACAGATAACCTTGACAAATAATATATTCTTATTACATTTGTTGGTACCAATATTCTTTTTGTAAGGGAAGGGTGGAAAGAGGGCTGAGTTTAACTGGGGAAGGATGTTTATAAAAAAGTTAAAGTGCCTTTGTGTACAATAAATAATCCATTGGAACTGAAGAACTATATTGGCATCTTAGGGTCTAGTTTTTGTTATTTTAATTTAGTAAACAGAATGCCTGTTACAACAGATAATGTAATTACCAACGGATAATGTATCAATAATGAAAGGTTTGTGGAAACACCATGTGCAGATCATTTCTTAACTGAGAGAATGGTTCTGAAAAGAACCAGAGGTATAAACTCGACGTTCCAACAGATAATGTATCACCAACCGATAATGTCACAAAATTTACCGATAGTGTAGTGGAATGTACTACACTATCAGTCACTTTTTGTGACATTATCGTTAGGACTGATAATGTAACAAAAAGTGAATGATAGTGTACATGTAGTACATTCTACTACACTGTCGGTAAATTTGTGTTCCATTATCTGTTAGTGATACAGTATCGGTCATTATTGTTGTTTAATATAGCATCAGTTGATGATATGTTATCCGTTGGTTGTTACATTATCATTTGTCATGTTTGTAAAGTAACAATATCATTTGTAACAATGCCCACCTAAAAGATATAAAGAAATTGCCCTGAAACTCCACCTTAAAAAAGTCTATGCAGGGGTGTTGGGAATGAGGCCATTGGGTATTAATTATTACGCATGACAATAAAAGTTTTAAGTTTTGATTATCATAAATGGTGAACTCTATACAACTCCATTGATTTTTGCTCCAGTGGGAATTTTGCCAACATCAATGCACCTGTTTTAAAATGAACATGTGTTAAAATATTGAGTGAGCTGTGCATTGCTATTTTATAAGCAGAGTGTACATGTACATGTACTGTGGTACTTTGCCATTCAATCTTGTATTTACTCTTTTAATTGCAACCAGGCTTTGAAACCTGTTCAAATCAATTCAATTAAAAATTAAACGGATTTGCTTCTAAGTTGCAACAGTTCATTTTGTTCTTGGCACATAACATAAGCAGGAATTATTTATAATACGTGTACGTATGTGTGTGTTCGTCTGTCATTGATTGATAATTTTAGAAAAATAAATAAAGAACATGTTCTCAATATAACATTGGCACTGAATAATTTTAGAAAAATAAATAAAGTACACATTCTCAGGATAATATTGGACCAGCTGAATTCATCATGCTGAGGGTTTTTGATTGTTTAATTCATACACTCTTATCTGCATACTTAGCCTATTTTAATTGTTAATAAAATGTAATTTACTTTGTTTTGCAGAATATGAAGATAAATTAGAAAAACAAAAGGTATGTGCAAAATTCAGTCGTTGTTTGTAGACTGAAAATTTCAAAACATTCTAATGTGGTTTGATAAGTAAATTTTAAACGATAGGGGCATATATATGGTTTTTTTTAAATACATTTGTTGGAAAAAAATAAAAACAGTGTTAAATTATTTATACTCATTGTTTAAAAGATTTGGTCCAATCGTACAATGTATATTTACAATGTACATGTAGATGAAGAAAGATTGCCCAACCAATGTGCATAAAAACCAGGATTTTTATTGACTAAACAAAAAATTCACACATTGGGTTATTAACAGTTTCCATGGTTCTGACCTTGTTTTCTTCTTTTTTTTCTTGCATGATTACCATGGCAACACAGAAAGAGTCCCTAAACCGATACAATGCAATCAATATTCAACACAAGATGCTGCAGGTAAGTGTATGGTTCAGTGCAATCAACATGATCAAGGTCAACCTGTTTATTTAGGCAATAACATGTAAAATGTATTTTCTATACATTTGCCCTCCAAAACGCTGATCTACTCTCTGACTGTAAGCGATCAGGTTGGCATAGTGGTACTTTCCTCGCCTTCCACTGCTGTGATCCGGGTTCGAATCCTGCCTGGGCCGACATGTGGATTGGGTTTTCAGTCCCTGCCTGACTCCGTGGGTTTCCCTCGAGTATCATTCTGGGGTTTTCCTCTCACCACTAAAACTTCCTTCCACATCTTTTACCAAGTCATATTTATGCTGTTCTGGTGCCTGTGCTGTTGGGTGTCGAAATAAATAAGTTTAAAAAAAATGCATTTTGTTGTTTATATTTCCGTATGCATGTGTAAATAACAAGTTGATTTTTGGATCAATTTAAATCATTATACGTGATAAACTGCCATAATTTTGGTAGCTCATTGGTGTTCAGTGAGGGTCCAAATTGAGGCCTTCAATTAGCAATTTTGTAAGAAAAATAATCATCTACATGTAGAGGAAATTGCCATTCATTTCTGAAATTTCATAAAGCTGAAATTTTCTGAAATTTCACAAATTTTGCATTGCAAAAAGTTAAAATTGCCTTGCATTTTGCAAATCCTATCAAAGTAAATTGCTCATTGATCTGTGAAAACTGTACAGTTTTTCAGGAAGCAGCCTTGATAAATTTTGTTTAATAAAATCCTACATGTAACTGTACACGTACATATATGACCTGCAGACACTTGATGTTGTCCCATGAGTTTCCTAAAGGCTTAGGCTTACAATGTACATATTAATAAAACAGGGGAGTATGGAATGTGTTAGTCATAAGTCATGTGGAACGAAATACAGTGTAAATATATGGATACATTATTTCCCCCATGAGAAAAATCAGCCACTGCAAGGAACATTATCAGGGATACATACATATACAGAAATTCATCATCTTGTATATGTTGTAAATAGCAGACATTTCTCTGCATCAAGTATGTTATCTTCATGTGGTTAATACTTTATGTGGTTAATACTTTGTACAAACCTCATGTACATGTATAGTCTGGCTTCTGTTTAGCATAATGGGGCTCTATCATTCCACCCTGGGGATATATAGCTTTAAGGTCTGATCAGAGGGGCTTAGGGTTCAGAAGATCAGAGCAATTAAATTAACTACCATGTGTCACAGCCCAGTGTTTCCCCTGGCTAATGAACTGAGTGAGGTGGTAAAAATTCAAATTGATGTTTGAAACAAAATTTATGCAATCTGGAAACTGAAAAGAATGCAGCGCTCACAAAAATGCGCGATGATTCCCTTTACACATCCAAATTGTGAGTTCTCGATACATAGAGGTCAAGGAAAACGCTCATAAATCACACAAAATGAAACTTTTTCAGTTAGTATTTTCTTCATTGCCAATCTTCACAGCGAGGTGGTGATATTGGCAAATATTGAGCGAGGTGGTCACTGAAAGTAGCGAGGTGGGCCACCTCACGTTTGAATGGGCAGGGGAAACACTGCCACAGCCATTATTTCATAATATAAAGAATGCACCGTGTACCTTGTTTACTGTTGAACATAATGAGGGTTCTATAATTCCACTTTTGGGGATGTATGTAGCTTATAGGTCTGCTTATGAGGAAAGGAAATTATCAGGTTTCACATTGATTACCTAAAACATAAACAACAAGAAAAGGTTGTTATCTGTACACTCTTAAGGCATTCAACTTCCTCGTTTGTGTGATGTAATACTTCTGGCAAGGGCCAGATTACAAGCACATGGGTACTTCATTTAATGCTGATTGTTTCTCTTCTCCTCAGACGCAACATCAAGATATAAAACAAGAATTAGAGGAAGTCAAGCAGCAGCACAGCGATGCAGTGGTGCGGCATGAGAGAGAGAAATATGAGCACGAGGAAAACTTGACACGTTTACAGCAAGAGCAAGAAGACGAAGTTCACAACTTGAGAAGTATAGGATCTTATAAGCATTTTTAAGAGAGTGAAAAAGAAACACCAGCAGTTTTTTCTCTTCTCTGAAGTGCTGTCCAATTTGTATTTATTATTCGTTGACCACCCAGGCACAATTTCATCTGCTAGCAGAAAATTTTGCTTAGAAAAGCTAACAAAAACTAGCCAAGAACCAATCACTAGCAGTAAACATTGTATTACTTTTTACATGGTGCCATGTTTGTGCTAAGCAAACATTGTTGTAATGAACAAATTGCCTTGCTAAGCAGCTCTATTTGCTCCTGGGCCCAAGTACATTGCTCTGCTAACAACAGAATTCCACGATCACCATTTAATACTAACAGCACTAGCAGAAAAATTTTGTGTTAACCCTGTAAGCAGAGAATCCTTAGTTCCGGGATGTAGGCATGTGCAGAAGCCAGGGTTCCTCGCCAACCCGCAAAATACGCTTACCGTAAGCACGGAATTTAAAATGTGTTCCTGGGTTTAATAAAAACTCTCAGCATTAAATTACGTAATATATTACGTAAGCAAAAACAGCAGAGAAGCACTTGCACAAGCATTAAAAAAAGTGCATTCAAAAAAATTTCATGCAAAGGCACAAAACCATAATCATGCTGTAAATGCTTTAATTGCATGGATTATTGATGCATTCACGTAATTATCTCCCTTTATTTTCCACCATTTCCACCATTATTTTGCTGAGCTCCTTACACTGCATGGATTCTGTATTACATTTCGGTAATGCTTTTTATTTTGTGCAGTTCAACTTGCATCAGCTCAGGAGGAATTAAACAGAGTGCGAGGCCAACATGAGGAAACAGCAGGTGTTCTACGGCAACGGGAGGTAACAATTACCTTTCTCACACCTTAGAAAACTTTGCAATAAATTTGAAGTTTTTCTGGAAAACAGATCAAGTAAAGCAAAACGCACTAAAAAGATGAGGGAAAATGTATCACAAGATCACATCTGGAAGCAGAAAATGAAATGTTGGGGGAGTGTGACCTAGTGGTTAGGGTCTGTGACTCATGATCAGAGGGTCAGGGGTTTGAATCCAGCTGCTGGTCATACGTTGTGTCCTTGAGCAAGCCACTTCATCTCCACTTGCCTCCCTCCACCCAGGCGTATACCAGCGTTAGCTGGGGAGTAACCTGTGATGGACTGGCATCCCATCTTGAGAAAACGGCAATATTCTCAGATGTTTCAAATTCATGTATTTTTAATGACATGCTGATCCTTTTGTTGCATTTTCACAGCAAGATGTTAGTAATGCTCAAACAGAGAGACAACGATTGGAAGAGCACATTGCCCAACTGCAGGCCAACATCGGACAGTATCAGGTAGGAAGCAGTGGCTGTGTTGTGATTGAAAACTGAAACGGGGACGAATAAAGGGCCTTTCACACTATTTACAACCTCTGTGTTGGACCCGGGTCCAACACAGAGATTGTATTGGGGGTTCAACACAGAGATTGTATTGGATCCGGGTCCAACACAGAGATTGTATTGGATCCGGGTCCAACACAGCGATTGTATTGGACCCGGGTCCAACACAGCGATTGTATTTGACCCGGGTCCAACACAGAGATTGTATTGGATCCGGGTCCAGCACAGAGATTGTATTGGACCCGGGTTCAACACAGAGATTGTATTGGACCCGGGTCCAACACAGAGATTGTATTGGACCCGGGTCCAACTCATAGATTGTATTGGACCCGGGTCCAACACAGCGATTGTATTGGACCCGGGTCCAACTCAGAGATTGTATTGGACCCGGGTCCAACACAGAGATTGTATTGGACCCGGGTCCAACACAGCAATTGTATTGGACCCGGGTCCAACACAGCAATTGTATTGGACCCGGGTCCAACACAGAGATTGCATTGGACTCGGCTCCAACACAGCAATTGTATTGGACCCGGGTCCAACACAGCAATTGTATTGGACTCGGGTCCAACACAGAGATTGTATTGGACCCGGGTCCAACACAGAGATTGTATTGGACCCGGCTCCAACACAGCAATTGTATTGGACCCGGGTCCAACACAGAGATTGCATTGGACTCGGCTCCAACACAGCAATTGTATTGGACCCGGGTCCAACACAGCAATTGTATTGGACTCGGGTCCAACACAGAGATTGTATTGGACCCGGGTCCAACACAGAGATTGTATTGGACCCGGCTCCAACACAGCAATTGTATTGGACCCGGGTCCAACACAGCAATTGTATTGGACCCGGGTCCAACACAGAGATTGCATTGGACTCGGCTCCAACACAGCAATTGTATTGGACCCGGGTCCAACACAGCAATTGTATTGGACTCGGGTCCAACACAGAGATTGTATTGGACCCGGGTCCAACACAGAGATTGTATTGGACCCGGCTCCAACACAGCAATTGTATTGGACCCGGGTCCAACACAGAGATTGCATTGGACTCGGCTCCAACACAGCAATTGTATTGGACCCGGGTCCAACACAGCAATTGTATTGGACTCGGGTCCAACACAGAGATTGTATTGGACCCGGGTCCAACACAGAGATTGTATTGGACCCGGCTCCAACACAGCAATTGTATTGGACCCGGGTCCAACACAGCAATTGTATTGGACCCGGGTCCAACACAGAGATTGTATTGGACCCGGGTCCAACACAGCGATTGTATTGGACCTGGGTTCAACACAGCGATTGTATTGGACCCGGGTCCAACACAGAGATTGTATTGGACCCGGGTCCAACACAGAGATTGTATTGGACCCGGGTCCAACACAGCGATTGTATTGGACCCGGGTCCAACACAGCGATTGTATTGGACCCGGGTCCAACACAGAGATTGTATTGGACCCGGGTCCAACACAGCGATTGTATTGGACCCGGGTCCAACACAGCGATTGTATTGGACCCGGGTTCAACACAGAGATTGTATTGGACCCGGGTTCAACACAGAGATTGTATTGGATCCGGGTTCAACACAGCGATTGTATTGGACCCGGGTTCAACACAGAGATTGTATTGGACCCGGGTTCAACACAGAGATTGTATTGGACCCAGGTTCAACACAGAGATTGTATTGGACCCGGGTTCAACTCATAGATTGTATTGGACCCAGGTCCAACACAGCAATCGGCATCAGTTGGCGCTAAAAAAAATTGACAGTGGCAAGAGTAGAAAAAGTTCAATTTCTGCAATGTGTTCGCAGGATTGCTCAGTTTTATGACCTTAGCATTATTCTTCTGCTTGATGCCGACGGTTCCATCGTGGCCCAAGCAAGTCGTGGGTCGACCTGAGGCCGGCTTTACAGCACTAGTGCACAGAAAGTGTTACTTGAGTTCAACTACAAGAACTTCTATTCTTAAATTGTCAACAATGTACTTTAGTACAACTACAACAGCAGATATTGACTTAGTTTTACCATTGGCGTTTGTTTGGTTATGGAAAATACCGAGTACAAGTATGCGTACAACACCACTGGTGATTGATTTCATAATAGGTTTTATAATTGAACCCATGTAGGTATGCAAATGCTAATGACTTCAGCATGCTTACAAATACAACCTGCTGAATCATATTCCTTTAAATTCAAGGGCGGATCCAGGGGGGGGGGGGGCCAAAGGGGGCCATGGCCCCCCCCCCCAAAAAAAAAACGAAACCAATTTTTTTTTTTTTTTTTATGTGACATCGCAATAAAGGCAGGCAATGAGTACACCACCATCTTTTCCTCAAAAAACATTGGCTAAAGTGGTCAGAAATTGCCTCGGATCGCACCACAGAGCATCGAGAATCCAAAAAGTTTTCGGGGCCCTTAAGCGGGCCCCGAACCCCACGCCGTAATTTTTTGACCCACTTTTTGGGAGACACAAAAAAAATTTTTGGCCCCCCAAAAAATTGTGTTCTGGATCCGCCCTTGTTTAAATTATTCTTAACATCAAGAAAAAACATTTTCGTGTCATTTTTGTTTCTTTGGTTTTTCTTTGTGAATAGTTGTTATAATTGACGTTCTTTTATTTTTTGAATCATGAATGGCAATAACTGATTACCGTCATTCACAAGAAAAACCTTAAATAAACAAAATAATGTTTAATAAGCACCTAGTCATCATGAAGCCAACCGTGCCAGGAACCTGGAGATTCGTTTTGTCCTCGTGCATGTTTTGTGAAACCGTTTTATTTATAAATCACAGTATTTTGCACTGTGACTGCATGCACAGCACAGTTTCATCCACTTGTAACATTTCATCTTAAACCCATTATTGCTTGATTGACTGCTGTGGAAATTTTAGTTTGTATTTGTGTATTAAAAGCATTGCAATTGACAGGTTTTTCTCCACCGCACTGCAAGTTTGCATGTCCTATATATCAAACAATGGAAAAGTTGTTAACAATTTTAAAGTTGAACAAAAAAATTGACTAGGGCAGGGTTTGAACCTGCGACCTCCGGATTGCGGTTCCGGTGCTCTACCAACTGAGCTATGCAGCTCTATGTTGGCGGTTCCCCATTTTGTCAATGTCTTTGTTAATAACAAGTCAGTTTCTCCTATTGGTTGGATTAAAATCCGTTTTTTTTGTAAAATTCTGTTTGAATTCCACTATTCAGTTTTGATTTTTGAGACCGAATATTCCAAAACAACCGTAAACATTTTTAAGCATTCCATTTTTTGTGACACAAGTTGAAGAAATAAACTGGAACATCGACCAATTTGCTCCATGGTCTCTGATTGTAACTGCACTCGCTGGTTAGTGGTCTTTTTGGTTCACGAATAGCCTGCCCTTTACACCCAACCCAACCCCCGCCTCAAATAGAAATTCTTGAAAACTCATTTCTTCACGTAGGGTTTTGGTCTCCCATAATTGTTCTAAACTTTTTTAACCCTAATTTGATCACACAACTTTTTATGTTTGTTCCCTTTTTTGGTTCACAATCACTTTTTATTTCTTATTAACAGACTGAAAACGAACAACTTGTTAACGAACATAAAAATCTACAACAAAAAGCTAAGGAATACAGAGTAAGTAATTGTTTAGATTGTTGGGGGGGGGGGGGGTGTACTCGTTCCAATGGGGAAAAAATAGTAGAAAATTGAACACTTGATTCTGGATTTGTTGCAGCAAATATGATGCAGCAAAACTGTAACAAACATGTACATGTACCATCGTATCACTTGGTTATTATGTAAATATTAATTTTAAATCTCAAGAATAAACAGTTGAAGAATAAATTGTTAGTCATTGTACACAATTTTTGAAGAATAAATTATGTACTGAATAAACTGACTTTTGTAATTGCATGAGTGTTTATACAACTGTTTTTTTTTGCTGCTTTATTTCACAACTAACCCCAATATTAAATGTTAACACACACACATATATGAAAGAAACGAAGATTTGCATGCAGCACTTTCACAAGTGTTAAAATTAATTCACAACTGAACAAATCAAGCTCAGTTACACAAAAAAAACCTCTGTTTGTTTTCTCAACTAGAATTAGGAAGTACTAGTTCTAGTGCTGCGTTCCAATTGCGTTGTGTTTATCATGTTCACCGTGAATTACTCCTAGTTCACGAGTGGGTTGCATTCTTATGCTACAGGCTTTCATGCACATTGACCCCGCTAGTGTATTTGTTAAGTCTCGAGAAGAAAATTCCACCTTCAGTTCACCACTGGTGAATACGAGTTACCAGGTGATAAGAATGCTATAATACGACTAGTGAACCCGTGAACATGATAAACACTAGGCGATTGGAACGCAGCATAACGTCCATAAATATGTAGGCTGCTGCCAAAGAAATAAGCGTTTTTACAACAAACTTTCAGTGTGTTAATCAGGGAGCTAGACAATCATGATCTAGAATAATATTAATATCCACATTTGTCAAAATTTAAAAACACATTGAACTTTTTATCTGACAGCAACATATAGATCAATTGAGCCAGTTGAATAGATTCAAAGTAGGCAACCCACAGCAGCAGCAGGTCAATCCTGAAGATCAGCAGCAACAGCAGCAGCAGCAACAGCAACAACCAGTGGACCAACAACAGGTGAATCAACAACAACAGGTGAATCAACAACAACAGGTGAATCAACAACAACAGGGGAATCAACAACAACAGGGGAATCAACAAAAGCTGCAGTTGGACCCCTCACAACACAGAGTGTACATCAAACCACAACCTGAACTTGGAACATTTGACAAAGTCAGACAACAGGTACGTACTGGGCAGACCTTAATGTCATAGTATCCTAAATAATCACTTGAAGGAAAGAAATCAGGTTGGGTTTTGTTTCACATTAATTTTCAAAATGTATTTTAAAAATATGTAGAGTGCCATTGTAGAGGACAAGCTCCTACTGTCCTGGTTTGCATGCACTGCTAAAGCAATACAAAAGCAACACAAAAGCAATGTTAAGAATCATTTTATACCATGTAAATGTTGAATATTTTCAGTGTTAATGTTAAACGTCTTCACTTCTGTGCAGAATCTTCTGCCATTTTCAGTTCTTTTCTTTCTTCTATTCTTCTATGTATGTATGTATTTACTGTTAAGGAATTATTAAAACAACAGTATGCAGCAAGACGACAGCAGTATTTGCAACAACAGAGGCAGCAGCAGCAACAATACGATAACCAGCAGCAACAGCCACAGCAGCAGCCACAGCAGCAATATGCTGGCCAGCAACAGCAGCAGTATCCAAACCCACAGCAACAGTATGTAAACCAACAGCAAGTGTATCAACCGCAGCAGCAACAACAAGCTGGCCAGCAGCAGGCTTATCAACAACAGCAGCCTCAAGAACAGCAGCAGCAACAGCAGGTGAGTTGTCAGACCATCCCTGTCTGTCAGTCAAACAGTGCGCATTGACCAATAAGATCATGACGTTTAGTCAGGTGACCATGGTAGCTCGGGCAAACTTGGTCACAAGTGCTGTGAGAAATGTACACAAACAAAAGATGTGCAGGGCCTATGACTCAATCCAAAACATTCCAGTGATGCTGAGGCCACGTCAGAAAGCGAGTCTCCAGAGCTATGGCTAAACCTTTTGTAAGCATGAACCCAAATAGTTTTAATTTGCGAAGACCTAGACAGCAACCCGAGCAATGAGATTTAGACACTGACTTTTTTTCTCTAAACAAAATCTTTGCATGGCTAGGTTCCTCAACAGGAGGCGATGTATCAAACGGGCTGCATGTGGCTTTATATATATATTTTTTTCGTTGACCTTTATTCTGTTGTTCATGATTATTCCAAGATATGAAAACAAAATAACCTAACTCTTCCAGCAATGAAAATGGAAAAGTTGCTTTCAGGTGAAGGAGTTTTATGTTTCTTTTCAAATAGTTTCAACTATTGAAAGTAAATTACAAATCTCAACAGGGTGAGTATGGTACTGAATATAATAAGTATTAAATGTTTAGTTGATAAAATAAAAACCATAAAGTAGACATTTGTGATCGTCTAAAGGTTGCCCTGGAACCATCATCAAAAACGTTAACGGCCTGGATTGTTAGGCCAAAAAAAAGAAGTCTCCGGTTTCTGGTATGGAGCTTGCCCAAAAATTGGTGCGGGGGACGCGGCTTTTTTTTTTTTTTACCTGATTTTTTTGCTTCAAATGTCGGCTGATGACTGTAAATGGTGCCCGACTAAACTTAGTGCAAATACGGTATGGGGAGACCAGAGAGGCCACATAAAGCTTATTCTCAACCATAACCCAATCTAAAAACACGTTAAAATTGTGCAGCAGCAGGATTCCAGTCAAACCAGTGAGTTTGGCAGTTTTGAGACATCATCTTTCATTGAAAAAAAAACTTTTTCATTTTGCCAACGCGCATGGCTACGGCGACGCACGCGCATACCAGAAACCGGAGACTTTTTTTTTGTGGCCTTATAGCTCTTTCTTTTTTTTTTACATAAAGCCACCTGTTATTCAACCTACTAGGGTTAAACTAATCATTTATCTAGATTAACAACAAAGCTGAAGCTAGCAAAGACACCATCAAGGATCTACTTAAGAAGAGGGACCAAGAGCAACGCTATTACCAACAGCAGCAGGAGTTGCTACGAAAATATCAACTCAAACGGCAACAAAACCGAGCCGATCGACAAAAGAACCGCGACGCGAAGCAGCAGGTATCCTAACGATGGCTGGATGTAGGATGTGGCATTGCCGTCATGCACGCATGTCGACTCACGCACCGCTAACCTACTAACACATAGCCATTGCTTTGTTCTGTTGCCCGTCATTGTAGATAAAAGCTGGACGGCCTGTGTGACATCCATTCCACGGAACACCCATTGAACTAATTTTTTTCAAAAGAGAAAGGATTGTTTTCATGTTTCGAGACAGTAACATATGTGTACCAGTAGCAACATTTATTTTGATTTGATTTTCTTTAGTTTGTAGATGAGATTATATAAATATAACAAGCTGTTTTTGCAAACAAAGAATTGCTATAAATTAACTCAAATTAGGGAGTAAATGATGGAAACCAGGAAGAATTACTAATACCGTAGCTGGCCCTGTTCGATTATAAATTAATTTATAAGAACAACTAAATAACAATCATACATGCATGTAAAGATAAGACTCCGAAGGATGAAATAATAGCAGAAAGTAGTTTCACTCATTCAATCATATTTGCAATTTGTGAACTTGCAAAAAGAATGATTTACAAAAAAAGAATAAAAACCAAGCGAAAACAAAATTGAAACTTGCATGCCTTGTATTTTGCAACATCATTCCCGAATGGTCATGCATTTAATAATGGATTGCTAGATTGCTTTGATTGATGCATAATGTGCCCATTATTTGTTTCATTTTAAAAGGGTTGTATATGTTTCATATTTTGTTTTGATTACAAGTATATACCATCACTGTTTCAGTTTTAAACTTTTTATCTCTACTTAGTTAAACCAACATCGTATACACAAATACAAGCTAAAAATATTTTCAGCATGCTTATAATTGTTTATGTTGCCTTTTGATATCAATCTTGTCCTTGCTTTTAGCAACTTGAGACTTCACCCATCTTGGGTTCCTCAACCTAACAGTTCTGTTTTGCTTTGTTTTTAGTTGTAGCAGATTGTCATTAAATTTGCATCTAATCATGAGTAGAAATGTGTTCATTTGTGTAACGATAATGCCGTATGAGTGTAATGTATGTAGTGGCCTCTAACGAGCTGCTTTTTATTTGTAGTTGCTTTGTAGTAGCACTTTAGAAAGATGATTGAATGGCAGCCAATCGTGCACTCCTAGGCTTGTTTAGATTAAATGTAGCCCTACTTTATGTTGCTTCCTGGATAATCCAAGAATCGCATGCTTTGTGTGAAACATGAGGTCACTTATCTATTATTGCCACATGGGCCCAATTTCACGACGCTGCTTAACAGTTAGCAGAAAGATTGTGCTTAGCATAGCAGAAAAATGTGCTATACTTAAGCACCTTTTCACGGCGTATATGTGCTAATGGTCGCGCGTGCATGGAGATTTCTATTGTTACGTCACTAAGTTAAGCAAACTTTCCTCTAAAGTAAGCGTGCATTTTGCTGTGCTTATGCTTACGGTCTCCATGAAATAGACAAAGGCTCTGTTAGCAGAAAATCATGTGCTTAGCAGCGCTGTGAAATTGGGTTCTGTTCATTGTGAAAACATATGTAATGTGGCCACCTGTTCAGTGAGTTCAACTGAGGTCATCTGTTTATTGTGTCAACCTGTGTAAAGTGGCCACTTGTTCATTGCGACAACCTGTCTATTGTGGCCACCTGTTCAGTGAGGTCACCTGATGAGGTCATCTGTTTTTTTGTGGCCATCTGTTCATTGTGTCAACCTGTGTAATGTGGCCATCTGTTCAATGTGTCCATCTTTAGGCCACTTGTTCATTATTGCCACCTGCGTATCCACCTGTCCACTCTTGCCTCTGATGCATTGCCGCCACTGCCGTTGTTAATGCAGGTTGAGTATTGACACATTTGCACATACATGTACATGGGCATGAACATGTAGCTATTCGTCCATCCAAGCACCTGTTCATTTCAGCTACATTAATCATCCCCTTAATTATCTTACGTTTCAGTGTGGTAAATTTGAAACTTACCTTTTTAAAAACATGTGCAGTCACTACAAAAGTCTGGGGAATATTCAGTCTTCACCTCATAGCCTCAACCGGGGATGCGCTGAGCCGTAAACCATAACTTTAATTCCCTGACATTCCTGTTTCCAATTCTGTTTGCCTTCTTACAGCAACCAGGTCAGGTCTTTCATCAAAACAAGCCCAACGATGAGGATGACTTGAAGCAAGTTGAGGAGGACAAGACTCGCAGAGAGCAGGAGGAACGTCGCAGGGAGGAGGTAGAACGACAACAGAGAGAAGCTCTGGAGAACCAACAACGTGTCCTGGAGGAGCAGAAGATGAGAGATGCACAGGATGCAGAGAGACAACGACAGGCTCAAGAACAACAGGTAAAGAGATAATATAATACCCAGACAACATATATTACCTTGAAGCAAACTTGAATCCTTGATTCTGATTGGTCGATCCAAGGCAACAACAGTGTGATATACCTCATACCACAGTCCATATCGTACTTTGTGTATTGCGCTATTCTAAGATTCTAAGATTCCTACTGCACGAATGTGATTGAGAACAGTAATTGAGAACCACTGATATGATCTTTATATAAGGAGAAAGAGATGTCGAGCAAGCGCTGTGCAGCACACACCATAGAGTAACATGCTCAACAAAACATCATATGAATTTTGTAATTAAACAAAAATTAACAAAAAGGTACTTATGAATGGGAATAATAGTGTAGTGGAGCAGTTTGAAACGTCCGCTTTAAAACTGGTTTAAAGGGCCTAGTCACCTGTATTTTGCGAGGGCCATTATCGGCAACCAGGACCCTAACCAGTTTCAAACCAGCGATTTAAAACTGCTCTACCACACTCTTATTGCCTTATTCCAACCCAGCAAGACACTAAATGGGGTGACATCTAACTCTTTACGATCACAACCAAATTGACTCTTTGAAATTTCCCTTGACTGCAGGAGCAACCTGATGATGCTGGTGAAGACAAGCAGGATGAGGCAGAACGAGGAGAGAGACAGGAGAGAGATGTCGGTGATGCAGCAAGGGACGACGCCCAGCAACGGGATGACTGGGAACAAAACAGACATAACCTCTTCAACAGGTCAATAAGTTCTCACATTTTTTGAAGACTTTATGGGCTGCAGATTAGCCTGACTGAGATTTCAGCTATCAAATTTTTTATCATCTGTATACCAAATTTGGCTGTTTTTGTTGTCTTATTTCCAAGCATCACAACAACATATGTAGAAACCAACTTGAAAGAAAATACGAAGACAAAAACAAATTCAGGTATGGAGCCTTGCACTTGTACACATAATTACAAACATTAAGTAAAATTTGCCCAGATAAATAGATAACCTTGAAAAAAGACTGACTGAAATTATTACAGAATAAGGAAGATTACTATTTAAAATTGGAACAAAAAAAGAAAAAGAAAACTTATTGATATTGAGATATTTCTAAAAATCGTAGACACCCATAGTTGTGCTTGTTCCTAATCATACTACAGACAAGACGACATGCGAAGACAGGGCCAAGTATTCAAGCAGCAGCAAGCGCAAGACAAGGAGACTGATGACCAAGCGGAGGCAGAGAGGCAGAGAGCAGAGCAAGAAGCACAGCAGCAGGTTGCCATACAGCCCCAGCAAGGTGAAGAGGAGGATGACGGTAGGAACGAAGGAGAGGAAGATTACGCTGATAAGATGCAGAAACAGAGAGAACAAGAGATGAGAAGAGAGCAGCTCAAACGCTTAAGACAAGGCAAAGGTGAGACTTGACCATGGGTCTTGTTAACTGTCATCCCAATGGTTTCTTTCTATCATGAGATGGGCAGGCAAACTGAAAAGAAAGGGACACAATCTGTCACGGTTTCCACCAGTTAACATGCTGAATTGATCGAGTCCTTGCATAACATATCCCTCCGTAACTATCTCCACAAAGTGTTGTAATATCTTAACCCTAACAGTCCTGAATCCTCCAGTTTTAATATGAGTATTGTCATAGCCTAGGAAATTATGGTTAAACAATTTTTTCTTAAACGAGTTGGAAAGAACACCTAAACTAGTCAATAGATGCAGCAAATTTAAGACAGAGTCATGGAGTTATGGCAATATGGGAACATTTTGCAATATTAGAGTATCTACCATTAGAAGAGTTTTTTGTAAGAAGCTATGTTCTACTCATTTTTTTCATATTTCCTTATAGAAAAATCCGGTGGCAGCCATTTTCTGTCTTGGCTCAAGGCTTGCGCGATTCGCGCTCAGGTAGTACACACACACTCCGGGCTTCTAAGACTGATAGGAATACCAAAATGCACGTGCGCCTTGTCTTTAAGGACACCTGCAGCATGCACGTGAGCGTGACACCCCAGTAAAAACTTCTAAATCTAGTCCCGGATTCCACTATAGTTACCAATTTAGCTGGTTTTTTTTTAGAAATTTAATCGTTGGTCTTGCTTCTCAGCAGATGACATGTTTGACGGGAATAGAGGAGGCGCACCCCAGAGGGTAAGTGGAAGATATTACCATCGCTTTAAGGATTCAATGAGAACAGTTTTCTGCAGCAGCTCAAGATCAGAGCGGTGTCATGCCCAAGAGCAAAACACCATTTTCCTGTCAGGGTTTGAACTCATCTCTCATTGCACCTGAGTTGAGTGGCATAGAAATGGGAGGTTAACCCCCCCCCCCCCTTCCCCTCCCCCTCCCCCCATGACCCAAAACAATAAATTGGGGGAAGGGAGGGGTGGCTACACATCTGAACAACGTACTGAACGCGCTCTCTGCACACGGCGTGCTCGTTGTAGTGCACTGTATTTGACATCAGTTTGCTTGAAATGGCCATCAGTCCTAGGCCAATTCTGAAACCCCGGCTTAGGGGATTTTTTGTTAAAATACCCCCCTTCCAGTCCAAGACGCTCCAGTCCAAGGCCCCCACCCCACCCCCCCCCACCCCCCCCCCCCCCCCCCACCACCCCGAGTAGTCCTATGGTTTCTAAGGACTCCCTAAAATTTCTGTCTTGGAAAGTCACTTCCTTGGTGCCTTGCTTATTTTGCCTGTGGTTTCTTACCTGTCAGCATGACCAATGGGATGAGGAGCAACAGGAGATTGATCTCAACGAGGAGGAAGGTGACGATACTGACGATAAACAAAGTCATCATGATGATAGAGATGACAGCAATGTTGACAAGTAAGTGAAACTCACAATCTCTTCTGGTATATTTATCGTTTGCTTATCCTCGTTGGCCCAGTGTTGTCATTCAGTCAATCACAAGTCAATCACAAGTCAATCACAAGTCAATCACAAGGTGAACCTCAAGTCAATCACATCTCAGGTCACAAGTACAATGTAAATCAAATCAGGTTTTTCCCTTCACCGACGTATAAACACTGTATACTCAGTGTTACCTCCAGAGTGAAAGTTGGAAAAATCACTCGGATGGGACTTGAACCCACGACCTCCTGCTTTCTAGTGCAGATGTCTTACCACTCGACCACCGAGCTAACGGGATCGGTTGGCTGGTTCGAATCTGATGTACATAGCAGCGAGTATCGCATTAACTATTCATAAGATGGAATTTTTGCGTCGGGGTGATGTAAATCAAATTAGGTTTTTGCCCTTCACCGACATATAAACACTGTGTACTCAGTGTGTTACCTCCCAAGTGAAAGTTGGAAAAATTCACTCGGGTGGGACTCGAACCCATGACCTCCTGCTTTCTAGTGCAGACTTCTTACCACTCGACCACCGAGCTTGCGGGAGCGGTTGGCTGGTTGGAATGAAGAGCAAAAACCTAATATTGGTTTATATCACCCCGATGCAAATTTTTCTTATGAGTAGTTTATTTGCGGTACCCGCTGCTACATGTACATCAGATTGAAAAACACTGTAATAAGTTTAATAATGCTTGGAATGTCCCCTCTTTTTTGTTACTCCCCAGTTGCACGCCTAATTAATATGTTTTTTTTTGCTGTGCATAGCGATTTAAGATTTAATAAACATGTACTCACTCCAACTTTGTAATTGACACAGAAACCCTGGGGATGGCATCCAGCTGCAAGCACCAGCAGACCACATCGGTGATGTAGACAATCCAGACGTAGAAGATCAGCAAGTACAATTACCCGACCCTCAAGGTAAGCAGGATTTCAAACCATTTTATTATATGTATGGCCCTAATGATAAGTATGATGTGAAAGCAAATTGCCATTATGGTAAGGATGATGTGAAACATGTAGTATCTGACCCTGATGGTGAACATGATTTAACGATGAAGTAAGCAGCTTTCAAGTTCTGCAACAGATACAAGTAATGCAATTCAATTCAGTTCAATTCAATTTGACTTGATTATCCCAAACAAAAATTTCCGTTCGGCCTTTTACATCGAACAAGTTAATGAATGCATTAAAAATTACGAACAAATATTATACATTTAGGCACAGATTACGAGCAAGTCGAGGCGAGGACCATTAGTCGACTAGTGGTTGATTTGTGATGTAACTTACGCCTGCGCACTAATAGTAAGGCTGCATCCGAATCAGCTGTCTAGAGCTAGGTCTAGGTCCGCGCCCATTGAAAATACGCGGGGACGCGCTGACAATAGACGTAGCCGTAGCTCTGGAAGCCCATTTCGGACACGGCCTAACCGTACGCCTCTAGTCAAACGCTGGTCAAAACAAAACTCCTTGGTCCTGGTTCCCCGTTGTGCTTTATGATGCAAGCGGCTATTGGTAACCAGCTATGCAACCGTGCCCCGTGATACGATTCCAAATAGTCGACTAATCTATCCAACCATCATTCGTTCGAGCAAAGTTGGTCTAACTATGGTTAACTGTTGTTTGTGCCGGAACTTGACCAAAGCAGTAGGTCTCAACATCTGTTTTGAATATGGCTTGGCTTTGATAACACACAGAGTAGGCTAAATACTGCATCATTACATGTAAGCATTCTTTTACTTTTGTTGTTCAGGTTTAGTTCCAGCTCACCAGCAAGATAATGCATATATGAATCAGGTAAGCCATTAACCAAAATATATCACTCACAACCTAACTATGCCCATGCATCGTTACCTGAACAGGTGTTTTTTGATTACATAACCTAACTATGCCCATGCATCGTTACCTGAACAGGTGTTTTTAATTAATTGACACTGACAGGTACCAATGGCAGGTGTGGTACCTCTAAGACACTCAACTTGAATGCTATGGATTCCTATGAAGAGGATTATATTAACCCTAACCCCCTAGGCCCTTGTTGCTTACAACCATCCTCCAAAATCATCCAAAATTTTCCAAAATTTTGCAACTCCGCCTAAATTTTTCAAAATTGTCAGACAGTCCTGCCTCAAAATGCATTCATCCTCAATCCTCCAAAATCTTCCTCATCCCAAAACTTTGCACTCGTGTTTAAATGAAGGATAACCAACGCCAAATCCTTCAAAATCATCAGACAGTCCTGCCTCAAAATGTATTCATCCTCAATCCTCCAAAATCCTCTTGTGCTTCAATCACCATTCATCCTCAATCCTCCAAAATCCTCATGTGCTTCAATCACCATTCATCCTCAATCCTCCAGAATCCTCATTTGATTCAATCACCATTCATCCTCAATCCTCTAGAATCCTCCAAAACCGCCATGAGGATTTTGGAGGAGTGAGGTGGGTTAGGGTTAAAGGATGCTAAAATTGATGTAACAGCGAAATCTTGATAAGTCAAACCTCAGGGTCTCAGATTTTGAGATAAGCAGAGTTTTGAGTTAGCGAATGGATTTTCTATTCAACAACAATTGATGGGAATAAGTTTTTTGAGTTAAAGAAGAGTTTTCGAGTTAGCAGGTTTTGACTTATCGATATTTCACTGTAATTAAATTACCTAATATGGAAAGGTATACTAATCGAAATTGAAATGTGAGTTGCATTTTAATTAATTTGTAGCTGTTATTTTTGGAAGTTTCATTCCAGGATGATACATTTTTCTACTGCAGAAGAATTTCTCTCTTTTATACCAAGATCATCTTTGAAATTTAGACTCAATAATTACTATTTATTCATAGTGGAAAGCGCCACCAGAAAGACATTTATCAGTAGATGATAACCGAGATGTAGAAAGTGAAGTAAGATTTAGAAATTCCTCCACAGATTTCTTTTGTTCTCACTCAGTTTTCCTTTCTCAGGTACCAGCATGCTGTGTTTTGAACGTCAATTTCATTTATTTTATTTGTGAGGATGCACTTGACCCTTTTAACCCTAACCACTCCAACTCCATCAAAATCCATCCCTCCATTTTGGTGGATTTTTGGGGGACTTGGTCCAGAAGGCCTGGCGTGACTAAATAGTGATGGAGTATGATGGACTTGGGCCTAATGGCCTGAAGCAGTGCTAGGGGTATCTGATTGATTTTGCCCAGCTTCTTGTACTGCTATCGTCATATAAGCCATGTGTAGCAAGTCCATGAATGTCAACCAGTGCGTCAGTGGTGGATTCCATTATGTCATGTACAGTTTTGTATTGGAAGCACAGTGATTGATGGATTTTGATGGATTTGGTCCAGTTCCTAGTAAAAGACGCTAGGGAGTTAGGGTTAAGTTGAGATGCTGTTCGGAGCAACAGTGTTGTTATGATTGTGATTATTGGATTTTGGTGAAGAGAATACAAATATTGACTGCTTTGAGTGGTGGTGTAAAACTAGCCTCCCGAGGTAATCTATGGAGCATTCTGGTGCCAAGAGAAATGGAACAGTCCACGGATCACCAAGGGAGGCTACTTTTACTATACCACGAGTTGAAGCAGTCAATATTCATTTTGTAACACCTCATCAACAGATTCTGCTTTGTTTTGACAGATAGCTGATTACATTAGAAATACGAAATTCAATATGAAATTAGTTGAAAATTACTTGCACTTTTCCAAACTACCCCTTCATGATATATTTGAACCCAGCTCTGTGGATAGCGTGCGGGAACAATACGCGCAACGCGCACACCTGTATGCATTTGCAACTCATGCATATCGGTTCATAATTTGGTTGCTATATGTATAGTTTTGTTTTAATCGTTGTATAGTCTTTTTGGTCGTGCACAGCCAGATAGTAAAAATAGCGAGTGCCATGCGTCTCGCTCTTGGCCACTCAATCAAGATACAGAATCTTTGGGTGAGGTGTCATAAAATAAATTATGTACCTCATAACATGCATGACTAATACAACTTAAACTGCTTGACCAGTGATTGTTCATTGTAGTGCAGAAACTTACTTAATAGGATCCGTTGTTTATATTTTCAGACGTAAGATCTCACTAAGAACAATTACAGAATTTGACATGCACGTTATTAACTATTACTTTTTTACTGATACTTTATTAATAGCTGCTTAAATCTTGAATTGAACGTTGTTTTTGTTTTGCATCTTGGAAAGTGCAACCACTTCAAGAAAGATGGCTGGAGTGGCTGTACAGTTGTGAGGGTGGAAATAATGGTTTCCAAAGACCAGGGATGTAGTCCAGTCTTTTACAAATTCATGCAAGTCCATCACAAGTCCCTGCGAGTCCATCACAAGTCCTCCAGTCCCAATTCAACTCACAAGCTATTCAAATGAGCTTTGACAAAGGCATTCCATTATTGTTCATCCACTGTTACTTGTGACTGGACTTCTGATTTACTTGTGACTGGACTTGTGGTTTACTTGTGATGGACTCAACCACAGCCCTGCCAAAGACTGACAACACAGATATTTTATAGATCACCTAATTTTCATCAATAATTTTTTATTTTCATACAGGAAAATGAGAGAAGAGATGAAAAGCATCTAGAAGGAGGAGACGCTATTCACAGGGGACGTGAAATGTGATAAGACCGGAACCCTTAAGAAGATAATCTTGAGATGCACAGAAGATGTTGGTATTGTTGCACACAGTGATGAGTTGCTATGGAAATATTTCCACTTGCCTCAATTGCCTTAGATGTTTAATTTATGAATGTTGTGGGAGAGGTTAAAACAAAAGCAATACAATCCTTAAGGTGTTGGCTAAAACTCAAAATTGTCCTCTACTTTTCAACTTCAAAGCTTTGTCTTTGACATAAAGGGTGGAGCTCATGAAGAGAAAAAAGGTGTTTTTACTTAATATTGAGATACTTGACATTTTTGGTGGGATATGGAGTTCCTTTTTCCCTTTTTCTTTCAAAAAATAAAATATTGATTGATCATAGTTTCCCAAATAGTGGTTTGTTTCAAAGAAACATGAACTAAAACATGCTTCCGGTTGTAAGGGGAAATACAGCACACTTGTACTTATTGTGGATGATGTACTTGACATTTTTTTCTAATAAGTTCTTTGGAAGTGGCATTATTAAGTTAAATTACTTTCTTTGAGAAAAAAGGACCAAAGAGACACTGTTTTGTCTTTTGGGATCTTGGAATCATTTTCTGAAAACTGCCATTTTAGTTTAATAGTTTTAACAGCCGTTTTGTTTAATAGTGTCATATTTGAAACATCTTTCAACAAATTTTGATATTTAATACATCATTAAATATGGGGAAGTGTTATGACATTTGTATGTTATTCTGCTTTTGACGCGACGATTTCGAAAAAAGAAATTGAAAATAATCAGCATTTTTCAATTATACCATAAATGAATTTATAAAATGTAAGCTTCTCCGTATCTCAAATTATTTCACCTAATGAAACAAATGCAGCTTAAGCCTTAATGAATTGTAATCTTTCATTCAGATGATGTTTTTTAATAGGATGGATAATTTAAATGCTAACTAAATGTAGACACATAGTAATACTTAAAAAATAAAAAAAAAGTTGTAGATATTTTTTTAAATTTCATTCCAGTTTTGTCCTAATAATTTACTTTCTTTTTAATTCCTCTAATGAACATTAACATTAACATATTTTTTTTTTAGTAAGCCCTGCATCACTTACTCTAATTTGAGCAATTTTATCTGAACTTACAGGCTGTATTTGTTGTGGATTTCATATCGGTATTTGCATGTTTAGCAACAAAACCAACATCTCAAGTAGATCGTTGCTTTGTTTACAACTAGAAAAGTGAATGTCTGTTTCTGTTTGTACCCGATCAAAATATGACACCTTAACTAACAAAGTATTTGGTGCATCAGCTGTACACAAACAGTCAGTCAATTTGGCGTGTACCCTTAACCCAAATAGCACGGCAGATAGGTGATGGGATTGTGCCTTTGATGATACAAGCATGTCATTTGGCACACAGTCAGAGAAGGTCATGATAAAGATGGTTTAACCATAGGCCATGCAGATTTGTCCTTTGAAAAACAATATGGGTAGAATAACAAGCAATTTTCTAAATTTTCAAAAACGGCTGCAATTGCTTGTTATTCTACCTATGTTTTTTCAAAGGACAAATCTGTGATGGCCCTGTAGCCAGATATCTTTCTCATGACATACTCTGACTGTGTGCCAAATGCCATGGTTGTATTATCGAAGGCACAATTCCCCAAAATATTTCCCCTATTTGTCCCACTATATGATGCACCTGACTTAGTAAGTAAAGCAAGTTAAACTAAGAATATATTTTTCTAGCGCTTATGCTTAAATGCTGTGTAGATAACATTTTACTTCACTTTGTTTTCAGTTGTGAGGATACTATCTTTTTTCATTTGTTGTTTTTGGTTAGATTATCTTAGAGTTTCATAGGTCTAGCCTTTTCTTAACATTTACAATGGGAAACATATTTTGCTCTGTTTCCTTATTTTCAATTATATCTTAAGAAGATCAGCATGAATTCTGTACAAGCCAACTTAAGAAAGTAGTTGAGAAAATTGTGATAAAGTATTAAAGGGTGTAGCATACAATTTTGTATGATTATTAATTGTACATTTTATTCAGAGCAGTCGGTTTACATCTCTTTGATAATATTTTCTTTTCCATCATAAAACTTTTTTTTTGCAGTATTCGTAAAATGTTAGACCTCAATCACTTATACCAATTGTTTGTAATAATTTTAGTGGCAGGTCATGACAGTGTTAACTCGGGCATGATAAAAGTGTTATGAGATAAGAATGTAACTCGGTTGTTTTTGGTCGTATATGAGGGATCTGCCTGCTCAACACCCTAAAAGTAGTTTTAACATCTCTGCTTTTGTCTGAAAATGGATTTCATTGATAACTTACAAAACTGCAAAAATGTACCAAAGACAAGAATTTTACTTGCCTTTGTCCAGAGAGTGTTCTGTGAGTAAGTGTGTGCAACATATATTCGAAGGCATGGCTTCCGACGTCACCAGTATCACTGAGCTACACAACGGACATTGTACCTGTTAATGACACTTCGGCTGGTAAATCTATTAATTTTTTGCTAAGCAAAAGTAAATAATTGGCTGCTAAGCAAATTGCTTAGCACGTAATTGTCAATTGCAGCTTTTGTTCTCAGGTCCACCGGCCAATTTGCTCCTTTGTTTGTAGAGAAAACCTCTCTATCTCTGGTTCTTTTGGTTTTAAGTTTCAAAATTTCATTTTTTGTTGTAATCTAGACAACTCGCCTGTAAATGACCATCATTCATTGTAACATATACAGTGTTAATGTTGTATAGCCTTGATATTCCGACTTGTCTTAACTTCATTTTAATAAAGAATTATTTTTCTTGAGGAAATGATTTGTCAAATTTTGTTTATGTCGTATTCGGAGGAACACACGCTTTGGGGGACAGAAATATCACTTGATCAGTGTTTCTACTCCATGTGAATTTGTCTAGGGGAAAAGGTTGGGCCTATTTTTGGATTATGGCGAAGTCTACCAAGCACAGGCCTATGTGGTGTAAAAATAGATTCAAATTGCAAACACTCGGAGATTCGTTCGGAACATTGACACCAAACACATTAAATACTGAATTTATGTCAAATAATGGAGTCTTTTAGTAAAACCAACTAACTTCGAAGTCTGATTGAGTTTACAGGTGTTAATTGTGATTTGCTCAAATTATATCGCGAACTTACCAATTTACAAGTCAAACTAATCTGTTGCACATTAACTTTCAATTTAAAATCCTGCAGACTAAAGATAGCTCGTACACCAGCCTTAATAAATGTGGCAAATGTGGTTAATTGGCGAAGTATAACAAAATGTGTCGATAACACCGGCACATGTCCAGTTGGAGAGCAGACGACATAGCCGCCATTTCAAAAACTTCCTCGCACGGTACTAATACACGCACTGCGCAGATGCAGTGCAGCTGGAAAAATCAACGTTTTGTGATTGGCTACAAGTGGCGTCACGTGTTAGTCACGTTGTGCTGTGTATTTTTTTTTTAGCTCTAGTTGAAAGCATCCGCCAGATTTGTTGCTCCACTTTTGCTCCTACGACTGCAATAATTATATGCAGGGGAAAATACCATAACTTGCATTCCGGCTTAAAGTTTGCATAGGTCGATCACGGAGAAGAATACGAAAACCCGCCATTTCTATAGCATGTCTCGTCTCTGGCATACCAAGGCATGTTCGCGTGCATTTAGAGCGCGGGAGTACTGCATACATATTCTTGGCTGTATGTATTGGCGTCAAAAGTATGCACATTCGTATGGAATTGGTGCTGCTTGTGGTACTGCGACTTCAAGTTTGCTCGAACTATTGGAAGGAACATATGATGAACTCGGCAAAGGAAAGATGGTTTGGAGTTTTCTGTCGTAGTAGTGCGAGTCTTTAAAGGACCCCCAAAGACATGTATGGACAATGCATTCAAACTACAGGACGAAGTGGTGTTTACTAACCCATTTGAGCCTTGGAGGAACTTTCGTTTGGTGAGTAGAGAATTGTGTAAAAACACCGTTTGGTCGACCGAGGGATATTTGGGAATATTTGATGCAAGGAAAGATTATATACGAGTGAGGTTTTGTTTTGAATTTCATCGTTCCTTTGCACACACCAAACGTGCAACCAAATCAGTGAAGCATGAGGGTTCCGAGCTGTGGAACTCATTGGACACTTCCTTAAAAAGTACTTAAACCAGTCTGTCTCTATTTAAACGTAAATATAAGACTTGTTTGCTTAATAATTATATGGAAACTGGTTTAAGCCTCACGGGGTTACGGGATACAGGCTTTGTTTATGTGTTCATTATTATTCATCAATCTATAATACTGTTTTGTCATTGCAAATGTGTTAAGTGTCATTATGTATTGTGTGTGTTAAAGGGAAAATACAACATTTGCAAACATCAAAAAATAAAACTACCAAATCATTTTGAAATACCTTGCTGGACTGTTAGTGAATGACAGTGTAAAAGCATCCTGTAAAATCGTGGCATCTGGTATACATGTACTGTCATTTTCAAGAAAAGTGGTATATTTGTATCAATTTCCAACGCTGGTCGGCCGACCAGCGTTGGAAAAAAACTGGCTTTTTTTCAAATACTGGCCCCAATTGACCATCGCACTTGTTTGCAATCGATTACACACCTATGAACTGGTACAAGCCAGCTAGACTGGTTCCCTGACCTTACAATTCCCCAATGTATGTAAACTGCTCTGTTTCTTCTTATATGGAGTCAGGGAACCAGACTACAGGAACATGATTGTTTTTCTTGGTTTTTATAGCATTTTCGAACCCAAAACCTAAAAAAAGTCAGTGTAACTATATTTGCTATATATTTCCAACCCCCCCAATTCCATCCATTTCTGAAAATTACAGCAAAAGCAAATGATGTATATTCCCTTTAAGTGACGTTTGTCCTGATGCACAAAGTTATGTGGAAAATAAAGTAATTGATTGATTGATTATTATATTTGGAACAGGCCTACACGGCATTAGTTATTTTAGGACCCCTCTATATTTTCGCCGTTGTTATATTTACGGAAATCGATCATTGCGCACGCATCACTCGTCAACCGAATGGTTCCGTAGGACTTTACTTCCCTTTAACACATTTTTCTGAGCCATAAGAAAGAAAAATGAAATTTGGCATTCTCCAGCTGTTTAGGTGAGTTCAAAACTGAGAGAGACGCTAAAAGTAACTAATCCCCAATACATTGTAGCCTGCATGTAATTGTGACTTGGTGAAATTTTATTTGAAGTTTGTCTTTCACTGTTAATAAGACTTTTTTTGGGGGGGGGTAGCTCTTATACTCTTGCATTCAGTTACCCTCGTTATTATGATGGACATAATTGGACCAACGGCGGATCCAGAACACAATGGGGGGGGGGGCACAAACAAAATTGGTCCCCCAAAAAGTGGGTCCAAAAACTTACGGCGTGGGGTTCAGCTTAAGGGCCTCAAAATTGTTTGGATTCTAGATGCTCTATGGTGCAATCTGAGGCAACTTCTGACCACTTTGAGCATTTTTGTAAGAAAAAGAAGGTGGTGTACGCAGTGCCTGCCTATTGGGGGGGGGGGGGATGGCCCCCATTCCCCCCCCCTGGATCCGCCCTTGAATTGAACGGCGCTATTGTGAGTAAACTCTTCAGTGTTTACTCAAATTTACCCACTTCAAATAGTGCCCTCCTGATGAATATGTCATATCTAATGCTAATGAAAGTAATAACAGAAAACTGCATAATATTTCAAACAAATGTCAACCTTCGACTCTTTGAACTATAGACTCTCAACACCACCTGTATTTACAAAACCGTCAAAGCTTTTATTTGTAACAAACGTCACTAATTTTCTCTGCTAGGAGCAAAATACGTAATAAAGGAAAGTCAAAGAATATTTACTAACTAGTCCCAAGTGCTGCATGGAAGAATGTTTAAGAATATTTGGACCGCTTTGTGCAAAGGAACAAGTTGAATATGAAACCTCATTTTCAAAACTCTCAATAGTAAATACATCTTGTAAAGGTATTGTACAAGTCTTAATCATGAACCAAAAAAGATCTTTAATAGAGAAAAGGCATACTTTCATTATCGACCTTTGTCAAAATTAAAGTTGAACAGTAGTGTTCTGTCTCAATTGGATAACTGGAAATTAATCACAAAATTCTGATTAGTCAATGCGAGCACAGTGTGTGGATTGATGCATTGCCTGAGATATAAAAATCTGAGAATCTTCTCTCAAAACAAATTTGAGAGAAGAGGCAGAATATTTATTACTTTTATATTAAATCAAGTTTGTTTTCCTTTTTGAAAATTTACATATCTCACTATAAAAAAATACCCATGTTGAGGTTTGATCAGTTACTTTCCGTACTAAATAATCTTCAAGTCCAAGATAGTGCAATGAAATAAGGGCTCTTCCTTATTTGTTCATTGACCCTAACCCACCTAGATGTTTCAAAATCAGGCAGGATTGAGGACAGAACAGCCCTTCTACTTTAACCCTAACCCTGCCAGACGCAACACAGTGCATCAGGTGGAAAAGAACTGGTGCACTTTGATGCATTCAGCTACCAACACCAGTGCGTGAATGGCCAGCTCTGAAACAATGAGAGCTAAGTCCCATTGAATGATGCCATAGTTGTATCCTGCTGCGTGCGGTGACCACCGACTCTGAGGCAGTGTGGTCTTGAGACTTTTTCATCAGTGATCTTGCTATGTTTGACAGGCTTGTCACTTAGTCAAGTGTTGCATGTTGCCACGTTTGGCAGGGTTGTGGCAAACATACCCTGGATGGTTAGGGTTTAGCTTTATGCCCCTCCTTGTACAATGGGTTCCTGCGCAATCCTAGATGTTGGAGGAACTTTAAAGTAATAAGACCTTGGATTAGGGGTTATCTTAAAAAGCTGATGTTTAAATGAAAGCTTCTTATCCCATAAGTACTTGTATTTATTCTGCGATGAATCCATAAAACTGTTAAGTGCTGGAGCGGTTTGGGGCAGCACAGGAACTTATTACGGATAAAAAAACAGCTATCTTGCAAAAAAGGCAGTTAGAAGCGTAGATTAAACCCTGTAGTCTTGGCAGATGTTCCCTGGGAAGCTAACGTCAGTCTGAAGCCTTCTTCTGTTGCCCCTTCCTCATCCTGTTCAAAAAAGGAGCAAAACTTATGAGTACTGAATAATTTTACTGATAAACAGGGGGGAAAAAAATCATTTTTATCAATCACTACCTCGAGCTTTGGAATAATCAAAATTATGATGTCTGTTGTTAAATTCTCAAATTTAATACATCCTCTGAAAGTTTTCTCCATAAATGTAGACAATTTGTTTGTGTCGTTTCTTTTTGGGGAAGAAGGGGAATATGATAAATTTCTTGAAAGGGTGATTATCTTCTTGCCGGTAGTACCATATCATATTAAAAGCAACACACTTGTGTATAACAAAGGATAATTTGGAACTGGTCGATCAGCTTAAAGGAATTTAAGAACCTCAAATCAAAACAGCCTCGAGTGTACATACCAGTCTGGCGTATTGAAGCCCGCCCTCTGGAGGCTTCGGGCTGCGTTTGGCATTACGCGGCATCTCGCTCTTCGCCGGCCAGGTTGGGAACATGGACTCATCGATGGGCTGGGGGGATTCCCTGAAGTAACCGTGGTCTAATGCTGCCTCGGCTGTGATCCGACGCTCTGGGTTGTAGGTCAAAAATCTACAAAAAAATAATAGAAATACACCCATGTATCTAATTAACATTCATAAATTTGTGAAAAAATAGATGTTTATACTTAATGGTAATCTATTGATGTACTTTTATGGGTGTGTTAGATCAGATCACCTGAGTCGACTCAGGTAAGGGCAAATGGGTTAGCCATGAGACCCATGATAATCGAACAATCAAACGAGGGTCATCATGATCCTCATGTGATGTCCATAGCCGTGGTAGATATTGACGAAAATAATGCCCCTTTCGGACTGACTCTTACTTTGGGATATAATGCTTTTCTTTCTACTGCAAAAAGGAACAACATCAGACTGGAATAATAGCCTTTTAAGATGCAATGAGATCAATAACTACTTATTGCGTGCGTCAACCAGCAAAATGTATGTGTCCTGCCCATGGGATGACGTTGCTAGGTAAAAGGGCACCCTCTTTTGTTGGTGCACGGAGGCAATTTTGCTTGGATGCACACAGATTGATAAATTTGATGAAAACTTTTACAATGTTGAGAAATAAATATAAATGAATGACACAGTATTAACCCTAACAACCCCCAACCCTTCAAAATCCAACTGTTTTGTTGGAATGAGAATTGCACAAGTAATCTGATTGTGCTTTACAATGAAATCAGGCATACCACAATAATCACAGTCCAACAGTTTGGGTGTGGAGTTTACCAAATGGTGTTGGATTTTTTGTAGAGTTTACCAAATGGTGTTGGATTTTGCAGGAGTGAGGAAGGTTCCTAGTATATCACTCAAGGGGGTTAGGGTTAATGACAGGTGTATTCTTGAGTGGGCTCACTTGTTCATCAGATCAAAGCCAGACTCTGTGACTCCGATGCGGTTACGTAGATTGTTGTAAGGATGTTCAGCAAACGTCATCTTCTTGACAGCTGGAAGTTCATTGTAGCCTGGCCAAATCCTTTCACTGGGAGTCCCTAAATCCTACAAATAACCCAAAAAATGGGGGTTTCAGGAGTTTGTGAATGTTGAACCTACACAAATACTTTATTAAGTGACTGCTGCAGGGGGACGTTTATTACGATTTGGCCTCTTGCCGTCAGAAGTCTTTTGATTTTGTTACAGTGGGGTCCCTCTGTAGAAGGTGAGGAAGCTAATCAAAGTTTAAGCCTCTGAAGAAGAAGGTTTTAGCCTCTGAAGAAGAACTTGCTAAGTTCGCAACGTCAGGCCACATTAATTCAAAGTTTAAGACGGACGGAAAAACCTGGTATGGTATTTCAGGAAAAATCTGCAGAATCAGTTAGGGACTTAAAACCAAATTCACATACATGTGAAATTCCTCCTGGACTTACACATGTGTAAGTCCAGGAGGAATTTGAACCTTGTAACAGCGGTGGAAGGAGAGGAAAGCTCAGCTATACAACCTGATTCCCCCATCATGGGAGTTTGGGCTTAATTATTCTGCATTCTGGTTCTGAAGACACTTGAACTAATACGTACGTCTTGTGATTCTCACTGCAAAACTCAAATATTCAGGGAATAATTTAATTTGACAGACTACCTTGAAGATTCGATTGAGCTGATCGACTTCTGATCGTCCAGGAAACAGCGGCTTCATCATGACGAACTCGGCAAAGATGCAACCCACCGACCAGAGATCAACGGGACATGAGTACTCCTGAAAATGAAGACAGCGTGGGGTAAGAAAAAATGTTTCTATTTACTTAAAAACTATGACATGTACATTGTGTAAATATGTGCAAAAATCACATGTTCACTACAAAGTAGTATGCGTGCAGGTATGTAGTCGGATTTGCTGCTCTTTTTTTTCCCAGCTCGTTGAAAGTGATCAGCATGCGAACTCGTCTTTGTATGAAAAAATCTGTAAATATTAGTGTTGAAACTTTCTGCCTGAAACCTTATTGTCTATAAATATGCAGTGTTAAACATGTTGTGTAGACTTTTGTACCTACTCGGAAGAATACCTCCTTAGAGTGTAAGAGTAAATAGTACAAATATTTACAGCTTGGACTATGATCAGTAGCTTGGGACGCTGTGTTATTTTTACCTTCATACCTGGATGTGAAAAGTGTAACCAAACAGGAGTTTAATGCTTTAACAGTAACACATTCCCTAACTGGATGATAATTATGCTCATGTTACCTTGATGCCTAGTAGTAATTCTGGCGCTCTGTACCACAATGTAACCACAATGGGGGTATAATGCTTCAATGGTGAACCATACTCCCTAGCTAGTCCAAAATCGCCAATCTTTAGTTCTCCTCTGTGGCTCAATAGAAGGTTTGATGTCTTGAGATCGCGATGTAGGATCCAGTTGTCATGGAGATGATGAACACCTCGGAGGAGTTGTTGCATCAGGCATTTGGTTTCTCCTGAAAAGATTTCAAGCGTAAAATTTATAAAATAATCAGGCAAAATAAAAAAAAACAAAAACACTATGAATTTCATGAACTTCATCAATCATATTGTTCATACTGCCCCATGAATCTTATGTTGCATTTTCTAGTGCGCATGAATTTATGGTAGATTTTCCGGAATGTGAATTGTGCTACAAGGTTACGGGCTCGGTGTGACCAAATGTCAAACAAAAATCCACTTCATGTATGCTCTGAAAATTTACACCATAAAAATGTGTTTCATGCTGTCAAAGAAAAAATGCAAAATTTGAAAGTATTCATCTGTTGCGTATGGAAACCCAACTTGTCACAAGCAAACCAGTGCCTCAGAATTTTATTAAGTGGCAAGGATTTTTAAAATCTTGTGTTAGACTTTATTTAAATCACCAGCAATTCTTTCAAGAAGAGGTTTGTGATGTCAAACCCTATTACAACTTTGGATAATTGACCTATCACGGTAGAATTGTGTTAGAATTGCTTCAACGCAGCTTGTGAAATATTGTCCGTCTACATGATATACAAATGGACGCAGAACGAGCAAAATCTGAGACAAACTAAGTCAGTGTACAAAAACTGTCTTAGGGGTGTGGCAAACTCGCAAACGGCGATAGGTCGACTAGTTCACTCACCGATGGTGAATGGCTGTTTCATGGTCTCCATCAAGCTCTTGAGGTCATGCTCCACGTAGTCCATCACAATGTAGATCTTGTCCATGTTACTGCCAACAACAATCTCCTACAGGTGGAAAATAAGACAACCATAAGAATTAAATCTCAGGTTAAGTGTATACCAGTGCCCAAAGTTTAAGAATCCAAGACACAATGATAACCCTCGTCACTACATCTTCCCCAAAACCTGGCCTTTGCTTGACTTGTATACAAACACTTTCCAACTAAAATTCACCCTTAGTACCAAATAGAAAGCATAAACGACATCAGTGTCTAATGAGTAAGACTTGGCAGAAATGCAAAGTGACCATCAGAAACTCATCATCAGATGGAGTGAGATCTTCAGTACTTTCAGATGATGATGGCTCTTGATCTCTTCTGTTCTCCAAACAGGACTGAAGGTCGGGACATGTAGAGCTAGTGTCCTTCCATAAAATGTTGGGGAGTGTGGCTGAGTAGTTAGGGTTTGTGACTCACAATCAGAGGCTTAGTGGACTGTATCCTGCTGCTAGTCATATGTTGTGTCAACTTCACCTTTACTTGCCTCTCTCCACCCAGAAGTATAAATGGGTACCGACATTAGCTGGGGAATAACCTGTGATGGACTGGCATCCCATGCAGCGGGAGTACAAATATTCTCAGTTGTTTCATGCCAAGGGAACCGGAGATAAACGCCAGCTTGATGGGCCATATTGTCTTGTGACAGACTTGACTTTATTTCCATAGAAGCTTCCTCCCTGAATATCCCGGTCATCCAATACATCTACCATACTCACCCTGACAGTGACTATGTTTGGGTGCTGTGCTTTCAAGAGGGTGTTGACTTCTCTTAACGATGTGATCGGAAACCCTTCCTTCTCCTTCTCCATCTTCAACCTCTTGAGGGCGACAACCTCATCTGAAAGAAAAATAAAACAACATTCACAGTTGCAATTTCAACTAGTGAAAGTTTCATCATCAGGACAATTTTGGAAAGATTGTGTCGCACCCAGCTCCTCTTTGCAGACAGAGCAATTCACCAGGTGGAAAATATGGACAAACCTGCATAAAAATTTCAATTGGATAATGAGCAATGCACCTGCGGCAAACCAGAATGTGGCTTATATGAACAGGTGCTTAGAAATCAACAGGTGTCAACATTGGGATGGTGGTGTCTGGATCCTTTGGACATGAGAAACCAGCAATCCTAAATAGAACGCTGAGAAAGTTACAGCACTTTAAAAGTTAGTACAACAGGTGTCATGAGGCTTATTCCCACCTGTCCTTTTCTCCTTGGCTCTGTACACCACGCCATAAGTCCCCTCCTCTATCTTATTCAAGCAAACAAATTCCTCCACGCTACGACAACCTGAGACAGCCGGGTAGTAAGCAGGAAGCTTCTCCTTCAACTCGATAGGAGATTGCGGAGGGGAGTCAGGAAGGTAATCCACGCTGTGTACGACGGGTTCCTCATCGCCGCTGGGCGAAGACGTCACGTCAAATTTGGATTTCTGCACATCTGCATTCAATTAAAGTCAATGATACAGAGTTTGTGTTATTTTGTTGTTAGACACGTTACAAACAAATGATACATGCATATGTACAAATGCATGTATCATCTAGTGTAGAGTTTGTGCTATTTTGTTATACAGGTTACAAACAAATGATGCATCTTTACAGATGCATGTGTCGTCTAGTGTAGAGTTTGTGTTATTTTGTTGTTATACACGTTACAAACAAATAATACATGCATCTGAACGGAATCAAGATCTACTCGGCCTCCAATTGGACACATTTACTGATCCAACAGCCCAAAGTGGTATTAAAAGAACCCAACAAAGAAGATCTCATTGGGCAATTGGTTTTGTACAGTTAGACGACAGTTGCCAAATCTCAATCCTAACAATTGCCTTCAAATGCCTACATTTGTTGACACTGGTTTAGAAAGAATTGAAGAATAAATTGACATTGTGTGGAAAAGACTTTTTTTGTAAGTGTTACTCACTGTGAAAGATGTACAAGATGAGAATCAAAGCTTTTTGTGCTGTTGCAAGAATTGAGATTACTTACGATGCTTCTCTTCAGTCTTGACTTTCGGTTTGTCTTTCTTGGCTTCCTTCTCGTGTTCACTGTGCTCACTCTCACTGCTACTGGCATTGTCTTCAGACCCCCAAAAAACAAAAAGTAACATGTTTAAGAAATATCTCATAGAGACATATCTTAAAGTGAGGTTCTCTGCTAAGTATGATACCTAGAGATTAAGGAAACTGAAAGTTGCCTTGATTTATTACTTTGAGTGACACTGGGCTAGCCTCCGCAGCCGAGATCAGGACGGCCATGGGAGACCCTGATGTATGGCGTGCCTTTGTGTCCAGCTCACTAGCATGACTAGACATGCCTAGTCTTGAGCAGTTTTGATTTTGTACGTTATCGAAAGATTCAGTTCAATTCATTCTTTTTTTAATAGGGTATAGTAGAAACTGATATTTTGCATTGGGGATTCTAAAGGAGATAGTACCCATCTATAAAACTCCACTTCATGATGTTTTCACCAATCACAGCCATTAGCAACAAATCGTAGGCATGTACTTATGCATGACATGGACTAATGGAACATGTAGTGTGGCATTGGAAAGGGGCATCTGTTGCTGCCCATAGCGTGGGGGGGAGCCTGACAGATCAGCCTCTTGGGAGATTAGGAGGTAGTTTTTCTACAGTCTACAAATCAAGTAGTAATCTTGTTGAGTTTAAAAGAACAAAACTGTTAACAACTACAAATAAGAAATATTTCATTTTGTACCTGACTCGGAACCTGAATCCGAATCAGACTCCGATTCCCCAGACTCAGAAGAATCTTCCTCCTCATCACTGGTCTGTGCCGTCTCTCCTTCCTCCTTCCCATCTTCATCCTCGTCGTCGTCATCATCATCACTGTCCTCCCCTTCCTCTGAGCTCGACGACTCCTCTGAATCCGAGTCCTCCTTGGAGGAGTTTGCTTTGGATCCTCTCTCGCTTTCCTCTCCCGATTCATTCCCTTCTTCTGACTCCCCGTCACTGTCGCTGGACGAGGAATCCTCTTCTTCGCTGCTACTACTGCTAGCATCATCTGTTGTCTTGGTTGCAGGGGCGCCTGCTTCTTGACTCTCAGGTTGTGTTTTTCTTTGCTCAGAGTTCTCATTCTTGTTGTCTGATGTATCTACAGATTTTGTTGCTGTATTAAATGTAAAAAGAGCAATTTTAAAAGAAATGTGATGAATTTTGGAAAATTTATCCCATCTATATTATCCACGGGGTTATTGTATAATTTTTTCATGATATTCCAACCATGTCTTTATAGGCCTATAATTTGCAAAATCACATGTACCTCTTTTTTTTTTTTGAAATGGTGTCAACAATTTTTTCAAGAAGCCTTTTTAGACCTCTGTTTCTCGTCACATCTTTCTTTTTTGCATCTACGTACTGGAGTATTTAATTAATTTTTTTTTGTTAGAATAGAGTACCGAAGTGTGACGTCAGCTGTCGTTGTTCTGGTTCACTCTGGTTAGCGGGCTGATGTTCTCAAACACTTAAGCTGTGCGCGTGGAACAGAATACGCGGCACATTTCGGTACTCTATGTTGGACAGTTTGTTTTCTGTCAAAATTACCGTCATGTGTCAGACAATGAATCTTTAAATTCATAAGCCATCTGTTGTTTGTTGGTCTGTTTGTCTTACCCTCTTGTTCTCTGTGTGGACTGCGATCTCTCCCCACTTCATCCTTCCTATCTCCTCGGTCTTGACTGTCTCCCTCCCTCCGCCTGTCCTGCCTCTCTCGTTCCCGACTCTCGTATTTTGTGTCTTGAGAAAAGAGAGTGAAACTTCGATTAAACACACATCGAAAAATGCCACCAATCAGCCTCAAAAAGTTAACCAAATAAGAAAAAACTGAATTCAACTAAATCATAACTTAACCACCAAGTTGGTCCAACAAACTAACAGCAAAATAACCCACAAAAATCAACTACAACTGAAGAAGCCGAGCTCGGCCAAGCCCTACCCCAATCAAGCCAACTCGGCTAAACCCTAACCACCCCAACTCTATCAAAATCCATCCCTCCATTTTGGTAGATTTTGGGGGACTTGGTCCAGGAGGCCTGGCATGACTAAATATTGATGGAGTATGATGGACTTGGGCCTAATGGCCTGAAGCAGTGCTAGGGGTATCTGATTGATTTTGCCTTACTTCCTGTACTGTTGTTGGGATAAAAGTCATGTGTAGCAAGTCCATGAATGTCTTGTCAACCAGTGCATCAGTGGTGGATTCCATTATGTCATGTACAGTTTTGTATTGGAAGCACAATGATCAATGGATTTTGACGGACTTGGTCCAACTCCTAGTAAAAGATGTTGGGGAGTTAGGGTCAATGCAACACAGACAAATCAAACATACCATGGCCAAAATGCCAGCCCAGTCAAATTCCAGCTAGGCCCATCCAAGACTAACATACCTTCTTTTCGTTTCCAGTATTCATCCTCCTCAGTTTTCCTTCCTTTGTCCCTCTCTCTACCTCCTCGCTCCGCTTCCCGATTTACTCTTTCTCCTCTTTTTGCAAGATCCCTCTGTCTGTCCCTCTCAAGTCGTTCAAGCCTCTCTCTGAGGTCAAAAGGTCAGGTCAAATGTCATTAAGCACTTAACTTGAGTTGAAGTTAGGGTGGGCATCAGAAAAATGGCAAGTAAAATCTTCCTCTTTTCATTTATAAAAAAAAAAAATTCAGAATGTTTGGTTAAAGATAAAGGGATGTACACTTTTGTTTCTGGCGCATTATTGCATTGTGTTTATTCACTGATAAAATTATGAAACCATAGAGTGCTCAGGCAGTTTTTGGGAACTACATGGAGTATTAAAAGGCGGTGTGGTTAAGGGTAGTAACCTACTAAAGGACTAAAACATGCCTTTGACATAAAAGTGATATCAGCTGATTACCTCACTGAACATCAATTCGGGCGATTCGCATCTAGTGCACCACCAAGAGCTGGCCGTGGAGAGTCCTTTTTTCAAGGTTTTGGTTGACAAACGTGAACGAGTATCAGTAGACAACTTGAGCTAATTGTTATAGATTGGGCATAGTGTTCTGCCACCTTATAAAAACACCAATTTGATAGACAGTAAAGAAAAGGGCACACAGATCCTCAAATCATACACTTACGAAACTACTGACCGGAAAAACGAACAAATTTCAAATATCCTACACTGCAAATTTGTCGACCATCCCCCACAATGCTCTGGGGAAAATGGATTCTCCACGGCAAGCTCTTGGTGGCGCTCTGCACTGTGAATCACCCGAATTATGAAGAGTCCAGGAAAAAGACAAACATTTTTAATTCACATAACAATTAAGACACCCACCTGTCCCGTCTTGACTGTTCCCGATCGTACCGGAATCTGTCCGAATCACTGTGTCTGTCTTGATCTGCTGTACGGCTCGGCTCACCGTATCGACTGGATTCTGTCCGTCGTCCTGCATCCCCATGTCTCCCTGATTCTCCTGAGACCTCCACATGCCGGGAATCCTGGTGCCTGGATCCATCTGCCTGGTAACGGTGCGAGTCAACATGGCGACGATCTCTGACCCGGACGCAGATGATGGCCTTTGGTCCTCTCTTCTCTGTTCTTTGGATTGATGGTCTCGATCATGGCTCTTACTTTTATCTTTAGTGTCCTTAGAGTGAGAACGTTTGCCTACAAATCAGAAGACAAAATCAGAGTGCTTTAAACACAACCCTGTTTACATAAAAATATAATGAAACCAAATACAGGTCTGACTTGACTTCCCTCTTCTAAAACCTCACACCAGCATTTTCCAGTGAATTTTCTATTATTGTTTGCGGGATCAAACTTTTACAAATTAAGGCAACAAACTTCTACAAAAAAAAAAAATCACATTTGTGTCAAAGTTAAAATATGAACTTCAAAAATGGACAAAACTGGGTCATCTGTTTCCCCGTTTCTTTTTTAAATAAAACAAAATTCAAAATTTAATGAGAGCCTCCTAAAGCTACATTTCCCCAAATGTTCTCAAATTCATAAATATTGCCTCATAATTGTATTGTTCTTACGTCTTCTGTGTCGCTTGTCGTCTTTGTCTCTGGACTTGGAGTGCTTCTTCCTGTCTTCTTTACTATGGGAATCTTTGCCTTTTAATTTGCCGAGTTGCGGTGGTTGAATCTGAAGTAGATCGTCTTCCTCCATTCTAAAAAAAAAAAGTCATCAAGAGGAGAGATCAACAGTTAGAGGTCCACATTGGAACTGGGTACCCGAGCATCCAACCGACGTTGTCATGGTTGTCAAGAACTGGTCCCAGATTAGGGACCGTGTCCATTCAGCCCCGGTATGAAAAGGGCCCCACGGTAAGCTCGTCCCCTCCCAAGAAGTCCTTTCGTACCGTCCCAGCTACCGGCCCAGGAGCTGGTCCGGTTGCTAATCAGGAACTCCTCTATCCTGGGGTCTATTGTTTGCAAGTATTGACACATGTAATATATCCCAGAAGGAACCTACTTGTGGTTTTCATCTCTCACCGCGAAACAACACTTTCATCGGCACAGATCAAAACCCCTGCCATGCGGATTCGCGCACAATGGGACCGTAAATTAAAAAGGCGTTTGGAAGGATTTTATCTTTAATCCGGTAAGTCTGCTATTGTTCTGCTCTGGACGTTCTCTGAGGGGCAATAAATTGATGCGCCTGACTGACTTCAAAACTTCTGGTCAGACAGGACCATGTACCGACGAGACTGGGATGACGACCGGACTGGCTCTGGACCGGACGAGGTACCGGGGGACCCTTTTCATACCAAGGCTGAATGGTCGAGATCCCTTATGGGATTGGGTACCCGTAACCAACTTTACAGATTACTAGCAACTTCTCAGACAATGTAAAAGAAAGGTTTGAATGTCATCTGTGGAATATATATTCAAAATGAAAACCAGGCTACATGAAAACCAAATACTGCCCTCTATGGTATACCTGTCGTCTCCTGATGATATGTGTCTTGTTCGTTGCGGAGAATGACTTGAACTCATCTCTTGATTCAACTCTCCCTCCTCCAGATGCTTCAGCTTCACTGACTTGGAATCTTTCTTCTTGTCGTCTTTTTCTTTCTGCAAATAAAATGTAGTCAGAGAATTCTGCTAATGAGGACTTGAAGATAACCAAATCCCTGACACTCAGCTGTGCACAAGTTTCGGGAAACCATTTTGTTTCAAGGAGTGAAATAAGTTCCCACCTGTTTCCTTTCTTCTTGTTCTTTTCGTTGGCGTTTCTCTTCAAGGATTTCCTCCAATGACTTGACGTGCCAGGAATCCTTCTCATCCTCTTTCCTCCTCTTCTTGTGCTGATGGTTGTCGTCTTTGCTCTTGCGATCCGAGCTCGACATTCTATACCTTGAAAAACCACTTGTTCAAATCAGCTGTTGGTCCGTTGTCCTAATCAAGTGAAATGGTGGGAAACAAATAAAACCGAATGGATAGGTGGTCTTGTGGATAGGTTAGGTGGGGGGGGGGGGGGGGGGCAGGATTACGTCACCCAGAGAAAAAAACTTGCACACCAGTTTTCACCAGTTTGTGTACTCCTAGAACTGGGAGTATGGGGGGTATGGTGTAGGAGCGGAACGATAGTATGCGCATGCGTACAAGTGCAAGTACGTACCCCCCGCGGCGCGCTCCGAGCGATCGAACCCGAAAATGACTGCGATCATTCTGCGCGCGTGCACGTTTCAAGTGTCAGGTTGGCTCAGTGCGGAAAGGGCATATTTTTCATCATTTTTGCCGAAAAACAAACAGAATCCACCGATGTTTGTTGGGTGCACATAACGTGAGTATGTCATGAGGTAGCCCCACTAGTGTGGCCGTCGGTATGCTGCGCTGAACCTAAGGCCACACACCGTGGTACCGCATGCTACTGAGGACGAAGTTTTCATAAAATTCAGGGCAGTTTCTTACATTCTCAGTTTCTTACTTTCTTATGGTTGTATTCTATGATGTCTCACCAATCACTTCTGGAATGCTAAGGTCTAATGATGTTCCATTTTCCGAGATATTCTTCAATCTTTCTGGAGTCCATATGCACTCGTGAAACGTCTGGTGATGGCAGCCATTTTGAATGGGACAAGAGATGACCTCAAGCTGTGACGTCGCGTGTATGCAAATTGCTTGTCGAGTGCGCGAGGGCGCGAGTTGCAAATGCGAGTTGCAAATGCAACGTCACAGCTTGAGGTCATCTCTTGTCACATTCAAAATGGCTGCCACCACCAGACGTTTCACGAGTGCATATGGGCTCCAGAAAGATTGAAGAATATCTCGGAAAATGGAACATCATTAGACCTAAGCATCCCAGAAGTGATAGGTGAGACATCATAGAATACAACCATAAGAAAGTAAGAAACTGAGAATGTAAGAAACTGCCCTGAATTTTATGAAAACTTCGTCCTCAGTAACGCGCGGTACCACGGTGTGTGGCCTTAGGTTCAGCGCAGCATACCGACGGCCACACTAGTGGGGCTAGTCATGAGGTATTGTACGGAGTTTAGGGGCAAACTGTGCAGCGGTTCTGTGGGAAAAAGCTTGGTTGGGATGGACGTTTTGGTACTTAATTAGTGTTTTGTGCCGACAACAATTTTGCGGGGTTCTGAACCTAGGCTATGAGGCTCCACTACGTGGAGCCTCATAGTTCTAGGAGTACAGTTTGTGATGACATGGATGAGTTACAATTGAACACTCCAGACTAAACAACCATTTAGTTTTAAGTAAATAGGTCTTGCAACTAAGACCAGACAATGTAAGAAGCGGAAAAAATGTTGCAACCTGACGCCACTTTTTTCTTCATATTACATGTATATCATGTACATGTATAATCATCTCAATTGAAGGTCAGTTATGTCAGTCATTGCAAAAATGATGACAAGACATGAATCTGGGACTGATGATCGAGAAACATTTTGGGAAAAAATGTTGCAACCTGACGCCACTTTGTTCTTCATATATCTTCGCAATGAAGGTCAGTCATTGCAAAAATGATAAGACATGAATCTGGGACTGAGAAACATTTCAAATTTTGACTTGAATTTTGAAAATGTTCTTGACCATGAGTCTCCATTATCCATAGACTTTGTACACAATCGGACCCACAATCGTGACACTCGCGGAAGTGGCGTCAGGTTGTAACATTTTTTTCCAAATACAGATCATATACTTACAAATACATCAACAATATAAAAGATAACAGATAACAGGTCAAAATGGGCAAAATAGTGTAGAAATTACAAATTATAACGAACCTCATTTGTGCACCATCCACGATCACTCGATTCGTGAAATTACAAATTACAGCAGAAACAATGACGCCCTCAACGTCTGATGAACGTTGCCTTTCATGTAATTAAAACTGTTCTATGTTTGTTTTCATGAACAAAGTTATTTCTGGGCCTGTGTCTTGGACAGAACAAAAAGTCGCGTCAAATAGCATTTTAGTGTAAACGATTGTAATGATAATTTCAGTTTGTGTGCACTGTATCTGGATTTTACCGTCGCCTTTTGCTCAAAACTGCTTACATAAATTTCCAATTCAATTTAAGTTGATATAAAACAGTCGTCGGTACACATTTTCAGCATGAACCCGACTATTTTTTGACGATTCGATTCGTATGGCATGGCATATCGAGTACAGATACTAGACCACAATTTTTTTAGCGCTCTTGTCACGTAGGATTCTCTTGCAAAACAGAGTGATTTTATTTGCGAAAATGACGGATAACCAGCAAGCAAACGGCAACACGAGCATAGAAGATAACCTGGATGACAGCTCGATGCCTGAGGTGTCATTCCAAGGTGGGACACTGTCCCTAAATAGTGTGGAAACCAATCTGTTGCACGAGGAAAAAAAACCTACCGCGCCGTCGACTTTGCCACTTGCGAACGCCAACAACGGAGCCAACAACGCGAACTTCGTCAGAGGTCGGCCGAAGAGCGCGCCTCTGTCCCCCGTGGTTCAGGACGGATTTTACGCCTCAAAGGTACGTATGGATGGACAAGCATAATTGTTGTGAGTTATTGATCATTGTAATTTAAGTTACATTGCTAAATTTAGTTTGTAAACTAAAAGACTTTGTTACTAGCCAGCCCAAATGTTCATTGGTTTTTTTTTTACATTTTGTAAATTGTATTTTTTTTCGTGTTTCAAGTTTGTTTGTCATGTTCGTTTGTTGTAATTTGTAAAAAAAAACACCTCTTTTTTTGTTAATTATTTATTTACTTTTTGCAAGGAGGGGGTATATTTTGTTATCCGTTCATAGAGTTTGTTTATGGTTATTAACTGTATTTATTTTAAGGTCTAAGGATAATCATAAAATACAAGCAAGACAAGTGAAGCAAGAAAATTAAAATCTGTTTGGCATGTTTGGTAATGTTTTTACTGGATATATTAAAGAAACATGATTGATATATTATTTTTGCATAAAATATACAGTCTATAACATTAAAAAAAACTTAGTAAAATTTTAAGTACCAAATACTATTTTAAACTTGGGATGTACAATGTTTTATTTGGTTTCGTTTTTAGGTTTTGCATGTTTGGAAAAACTTGAAAAAACGTTACATTTATTTGCATTACATGTATACATTTTGTATGTGTGCTCGAACATTTTTTTTATGTCAACCTGAAAGAAGTTCTATGTTTAATTGTAAAGTCTGTCACGAACCAATGTGGCCAGCGTTTATCTCCAGTTTCTTTATAAGAAACAACTGAGGATATTCTATTCCCCCAGATGGGAAGCTATTCCATCGTAGGTTACTCCCCAGCTAATGCCAGTACCCTAGGTGGAGAGATGCAAGAGGGGTGAAGTGGCTTGCCAAAGAACACAGCATATGGCCAGTTGCTGGATTTGAACCCCTGACCCTCTGATCATGAGTCACGGACCCAAGCACTAAGCCACACTCCCTACATGTTTTTTTAAATTCATTTAAGCCGTTGGGGGAGTATTGGAATAAAATTGAGTTAGTGTTTCTAGTTTTGCTTTTCCAGACATGCCAACATTTCAGAAGGGTTCATCACAGAAAGTGAGAAATTAATCATTCCATCTCAGTATTACCTCCATAAAGCATTTGATCTCATTTTTATCTTGTCAACTTGAACCAGAAATTTTCTTTTCATAGATCCTGAGTTTAGTTTAGTTTGGTTAGTTAATCCCCATTAAGTCTGTTTAATGCGCGTTCCCCATAGTGTGTCAGGGTTAGATACATTTACATGTAGGTCTGTAATTGTCGTGGCCAAGCATGTACATTGTATATTTGCGCCGCAAAAACCACTCTTCAGGTTACACTGTTGGATGCCTCATTACAAATTCAGCAACGCGGAGTACATGTACATGTATGTACATGTAGATCATCATCACATGCTCCCCTAAGTCACGCTTAAGTGAAGAAGAAAAACGTACATTGTACATGTACATGTACATGTAGGCCTAAATGTACGTACATCTAACCCCCAAGTAAAATGACATACATGTAGTCTTTTATCGTACTTGTTGAGGGTATGGTATTATACACTTACATATATACATACATGTACATATTAATATGGCCATATTTTTTTTTTATGTGGGCATAGTATACATATGTACATGTACATGTACATATAAACATTTACCATGTTCATGGTGCACTTTTCCGAACTTGCAAAATTTGTAAGAAAAGCAACTTTGCCAGTTTTTACTGTAAAATTATAACTACAACAAGCAATACCAATTTTACAGCTTTGGTCCATAATGGAGTTACCGGTATGCCTCAAGAGTCAACAAGAGATGAATTCCACCTACATGTACACGTACATACAGTTTGTATGTGTAAAGCTATAAGGCAGTTATGGACCAAAGCTGTAAAAGCTGTATGGACCCATGGAGGAATAAGAACTGTTACATTCCTCCATGGTCCATAACTACTTACAGCTTAACATGTAAGTGGAATTCCCACAACAAACAAATGTACCACATGTCATGCACATAGATCTATGCCGACATGTATGTAAATTATTTAGTATTTTTTTTTAATCAATATGTACAATATAACTTACATGTAAGTTGATAAAGGTAGGCCTACATCATTGTGTAAACCCATACCATTACACTCAGGGGTGGTGGTGGCATTGGTCACATTTATAAGTAGCATAGAGTTCAACTTGTATCTCGTAAACATACATGTACATGTACATGGTGCAATGTACACGTACAAACTACATACTGTGCATACTGCATACTGGTACAATTTTTGACACTCTAAGATTGTACCTTTTTTGTCTACAGGTCACATTTACACATATGGGCCATGGAGGTAGGCCCTACTCTATGCATACAAGTATATGTACAAAATAGGTGTCCAAAGAATTGAATTTCAGCCCACTAAATTGTAAACTGTTAATGTAATGTTCATCTGTCCGATAGGATGACCTGACAGCGCAATACAAGGTTTTTCCAACAATAACACTCATTTGCATAGTAATTGTGTTGTGGCATTGATAATGGGTTATTGGAATGAAAGTACTGACCTTGAGTACGTGCGTGGAATGTCGTCATTGGAATGATGAACCAACAAATAAAACAACAGATGTGCTTGTACATGCTGAGATGCAATTTCTTTCATTTTATTTCATTCTTTTATTTTGGACGTAAATATTTATTTGTGCCTTGCGAAGGAAGTGTAACCCTTCAGTACAAGCTATTGAAAAAAAATTACATGCTAATTGCAAGATAATTTGGATTAAATTTGTTCCAATATTGAATGTTTCATTACAATTATATTAAAGAAAATCCATTTTCTGTGACATGTATTCTGAACTCATCAAGGCGTTGTCATTTTTAGATAGAGTTGGGCTGGAATTAAGAATGCATATCAATTTTGATCATTCCGTTATTTTTTGGGGGCTGCAGCATGCGCAAAAATTGATAAAATTTATCAGATTCAAAAGCCGTAGACCTATGAGGTATTTTGTGACTGGATAGGGCCAAATGATTCTATTTAAGTGTGTTCAGAGAATTCTCTTGCATATGGGCAATTTCAGTGTCTGTAACAGCTTTTATTAGCTTAGTGAGTAAACCTGAAAATGTATTATTCAAAAATTAGATATCATGATTTTTTGGCTCTGTCACGGACATTAGGCTCACTTTTCCTGTCATAACGCTGAAATTTCCCCTTTTCCTACATATGTACAAAGGTGCATGAAACTATTTTGTGATACAATTGTGGTCAAACATGAACGATACGAATATAACGTACCATACAATTCACAAGTTTTGTGGCTTATTATTAGTGAAGATAGGCCTTCTACTACCAGCAATTGTATGTGCCTGCATATAATGCATTTCGTCGGGTGCGAAGAAGGTCGTCAGAAGAAACTGGGAAAGGTTGTTAGGGTGAAAAACAGGTCAAAAGGTCAAAATTTATCTATTTATATTGGGGGGGGGGGGTCAATAGAGCATTGAAGTATCTGACGAATGTTCCACTGAATTGGGAAGGTACTATTGTGAAGCAAAGTTTATTACCCGGTAGAAGGTCACTATGATTTGAGTTGCTGCTCAAGCGCACATAAATTTACATTTGAGGCAGGTAGGAGTTCCAAGCAAAAGGTTTTAGCACGAACATGTAAATTAAGTAATATTTAATAGTATTAAATATTAATTATTAAATATTTATATAATAATATAAAAATGAATAACATTATTAAAATTATTATAGGCCTATATAGTCAAAATTTCAGCCTTACGCGATTTTTTATTTAAAAATGGGAGCACAAAAAAAACCATATCAACTTGATTATCTCCAAAAGTGATTTTTGCATGCAGCCTGGACTACATTTTACTAATTATGCCCTTTTCCTTGGCTTACAAAGATTTAAAAAAAATTGAAACAAGTGTGAAAATAGACAAAACAATACAAAGCTTGGTCAAAAAGAACCTACATTGTACATAATGTAGCAAAATCAATATCCACTTAGAAAGTAAGAATTCACTAGTTTACAGTGCCCATGGTTCACTTATGTTTTGTACAGTACAAAATCTGTATATGGACAATATGGTCACTACGATAATTGGTATTATACAACACCTGAATAAATCCCCGTCATCTGATTGGTGGATCGTTGATCACATGTCATTGAATTATTCGTACCAACGCACGGCGCCTGCAGCGCACAGTGCAACTGAAGTTATATTGCACTGTGAACATGGTGAATATAACTTCCATTACACTGTGTCACTGCTGCTGGTGGTTGTGCTGTTTTAAGTCGAGATAAATTGAATATGATTGTTCTCAACCTGTTGAACAGTTTGCATTAATATAAATATGATGAACTTGTCGAACTTTTAAACAGTTTTTAACCTGAATAAATTGGCTATTAAAAGTCAACCAATCAGATGACAAGGATTTATTCAGGTGTTATATAAAACAAATAATGAATGTTTCACGTTCGTGCAATGGAAAGAATAATTTCATTCGGCATGTTCGGTGACAGATGAAATGTCCCATTCCACTCGGCTTCGCCTCGTGGAATGGAACATTTCATCTGTCACCTCATGAAATTATTCTTACCATTGCACTCACAAACATTCATTTTTTGTATACTAGTACATGTATGTAAAGCAGTACATGTAACTGTCTCACATGCATGTTCAACTGTAATATCACCCTCAGCGTGCATACATGTATGCTGCAAAAAGGTGTGTCAGCATAATGTACAATGAACATTAACTTCCTTGCCCTGCGATGCTTAATGTACATGTATATGCTTGATGTTTATATCTGGCACTCTCTGGCACACATAAGGAGGAAACTGCAGCTGATATGGATGTATTTAGAATGTATCTTACCATTGAGATTGTTTATCATGCAGTCAACAGAGTTCTAAATGACAAAGTGCAGTTGTAGAGCACGTGTACATTACTTTGTAAATTGCTTTGGATTCGTTATGCGCATATCGCTTTGCTGCCATTTGTTGCAAATCCTTGATTTGTTTGTCGTGTCATTTATTGTTCGTGAATTTATTCATCTTAGATTGGCCGGCTTGAGTCTGCTGTTCTTGAATGCAAGAAGGCAACCATCAAAAGTGACATGGATGGAGAAGTCCAGGGAGTCTGGCTTCTCACAGAGTAAGTTCATATTTTCAACAACAAAAAAGCCAAAAAATTTTTAAAAAGATTAAAAAGAAATAGTTGTTAATCCTTAAATACCTTGGCATATTTGCTTTGAAACTTAATCCACCAATATCCACTACTGTGCTGTATTATAAACCCTTCTAAAGTTTTTGAGAGTGAACACTGCTCGACAAAAAAAAAAAACAGCAGATTTTAACCAGATAGGCCTATAATCCCCTCGTAAATAGAGACATCAAGGTCTTTGTCAAATGTGGCTGGGCTCTTCATTCCATAATTGATCGAGAAATACTGCAAACCCTGGTGTTGGTCTTGGTTGAAGTCACAATTTATGGAAAGCTGGAATGAAAATCACATAAGAAGAGCATCACTGCTATACATGTACCAGTATACTATACATGTATGAAGCGCAAAGGTTGTACAGTGTATGTGGGTTGGTTATCCATTCAGACTGAGGACTTGGGACAATGGGGTGTGTGCGATTGCAATGGGCCCCAGGACCTGGGCCCAGGTCCTTGGGAGAATTTCGTGTACAAACCTTATGGAAGCTGTCGAGAAAAAGTTAAAGTACAAACAAAAGGGAACAAGAGAAGGAAAGGATCAGGTCTTATGAGTATAGTAAAAAAAAGAGCTGGGTGTGTGTGTGTGTGTTAACCCCTTGCTTATGCAAATTGGGCTGCTAGTACTGTTCATCCTCCGCAGAGCAGGCAATACCTCCCACAAAGTGGGCAATATGTCCCACAAAGGAGGCAATATATCCCACAAAGTGGACAATATATTCCACAAAGTGGGCAATATATTCCACAAAGTGGGCAATGTATCCCACAAAATGGGCAATGTATCCCACAAAATGGGCAATATATCCCACAAAGTAGGCAATATATCCCACATAGTGGGCAATATATCCCACAAAGGAGGCAATATATCCCACAAAATGGGCAATATATCCCACAAAGTGCTGACTTGCCCATTAAGTGGGCGAATGGCGGTGAAGCCATCTCCCCACATACATGCAGAACTGACCTCTTCATCTCCTGTTTCTCTTTATTGAACTGGATATTGATAAAAATGGACCAAGCAGTTTTATAGTTTGATGCTTAATATAATTCTATCAATTGATATTATTGATCCGTTGTGTGATATTATTTCTGCAGGATTGACCATTGGGATAATGAGAAGGAACGTCTGGCCATTGTGACAGACAACAGCCTGTTGTTGGTCAAGTATGACTTTGTGGCCGGTGCAGTCCGTGAGTTTCAGCGCATCAATCACATTGCTGTGGATGCCTTGCAGATTGGCGTCTTTTCCTATCCAGAAAAGTCTTTGGTCAGGTAAATATTTAACAATGAATATTAAAACCTAACTCTACTAATTTTTTTTTTAGAGTGAATACTTCTTGACCAAAAAAAAACAGCAGCCAAAAAATAGCACCAAAATTTAAAAACATGTAGCCTAAGAAAGACCTGCCATTTCTATTGAAAGGCTCAAATAGCATCTTTGAAGAAAAGTAACAAACACAAAACCAACTAAAACAACTTGATCGGCTATAGAAAGGTTGACCCTTGCAAAGTTGGCAATCGCCTGTCGCAATCGCCTGCCAAGCAGGCGACAGGTGGCGATGCAGCCTCTCCTGTAAGCAGGCAAGGCGAAAATCCTCATAGTTGTTGGTAATGATTTTAGAAATGTAAGTGACCCCAACTTCACATTTAACACCTAAGGCCAAAAAAAAAAAGTCTCCGGTTTCTGGTATGCGCGCGCGTGGCCGTAGCCATGCGCGTCGGCAAAATGAAAAAGTTTTTTTTTCAATGAAAAATGATGTCTCAAAACCGCCAAACTCACTGGTTTGACTGGAATTCTGCTGCTGCACAATTTTAACGTGTTTTTTAGATGGGGTTATGATTGAGAATAAGCTTAATGTAGCCTCTCTGAACTCCCATATATTTGCAATAAGTTTAGTCAGGCACCATTTGCAGTCATCAGTCGACATTTGAAGCAAAAAAGTCAGGTAAAAAAAAAAAAAGCAGTGTCGCCGCACCACTTTTTGGACAAGCTCCATACCAGAAACCGGAGACTTTTTTTTTTGGCCTTATCACCTAAATACTTTTGATTGTTGATTCAAATAGATTTGATTTGATTTAAATAGATTTGATTGGATGTGATTTGATTTGTAGCCCAAGGGATGGCACCGGTTTACGCATCATCTGGAGTCACGGCCGCCAGCCGACATTCATGGAACGTTGGAATCCATTTTGTTCCACCATTCCATGGCTGACACTGACTAGTCATCCTCTGGAGCATAGCGGGACACGTGAGGAAGACACATACCAGGTAGGGTTAGGGTATCGCTGTGTTTGGATGGTCTGGAGTTCACAGCCTGCTCATGTCATTGTTGCCATTTACAAGCTTTAAATTGCCAGACTAACACATATTTCTACGTAGTTTTGAATGGCCCAGAAATTTATGGTTTTGTTACACACACTTTTGGACATATACTCTCTGAAACGTTATGTTACAAAACCAATTCTTTACAGAACCACAAATAGTCACAAAAAAATTGACTACATGGTGCTATCGCAAACCTTTACATCTTGACTTTCCTTGCAAACCTTCAAGTCTTATCTAGATGGTCTTGGGTTCACATCTTACTTTTGCCATTTTAATCGCAGTCAGCATAGCAAGATACATGTAGAGTGAGGTTTTGGAATGTTCTTGTGTATGATTCCTGTTCATATTATTGGTCATTGTTCTATGCTCGACATTAATAAACCCACGGCAGTAATGTTAGATACTGGAGGCTGATACCAGCAAGGGTTAGTGCACAAGGGCTAGTCATTGAATGGTCTAGGGTCCAAATCCTGTTTATATCATTGGTCATTCATTGGTCATTAGAATACCAGCCGTCCAGGGAAACATGTCAAGATGTGAAAGGCAGAAACTGGGTTTAGGAAGTGGTCTTGGGTTCACATCTTTAAAAAAAAATGGTTATTAGGCCCTACATGTATCTTTGATGATTGGTGTGAATGAATATCTAAAGCTGATAGTACACCCTGTGTGTGTGGATTAAATAGCGCCCTCTCTTGACTAAAAACTGTACTTGTGACAGTACATTTATATATCTGTGGATACCTCTCTGTGAGGGCGCCCTCTGTTGACTTGAATTTAGCCAGAAAACCATTTATCTAGTTGATAGATCTCTGGTACTGTATTCCAGCCTGTACTGTGTTTAAATCTGACCACAGTCAATTTATTTGTTCAATCTCATTACATGCATGTGACAATTGCATTCATACATTCTTTTGAAGTTAAGTTTGAGAGAACACACTGTGTTGACTTGACTTCTGCCAAAGACTATTTTTTTTTTCTCAGTTAATAGAGCTCTTATACTGTGTTCCAGTGGTAGGAGGTTCAAATCTTACTACAGGGCAATTCCATAAAATCCAACATCCGTCTGACCACATGATGCACATGTACAAGTTCGTTAAGGTGGTGGTATCTCTCAATTGTTTTTAACTCATTAGATGCCACACTATTAGGCAAAACAAACAAATAAGTCGGTCTCTGGTCAGCGCGCATCGATTTCAATCATGCGCGTCAATCTTTTTTTTTTCCAAAATGTTCCGCGGTAGCTCCAACAGCGCCCTCTATTGACGCACCTCCTCATTTTTTTTTTACCAAAGAGCACCAAGGAATGGGAAATTGCACCAAGGCAAATGATCGAGAGCACCAAGGTAAATTATGGAGGACACCAATGTACATGAGGACACCAAAAAAGCTAAATAGTACCCCACCTTGTCTGTACAATCCAAGCTTGAAGAAAAAAAAAAAGGAAAAAAAAAAGAAAAGCCGCATCGCCGCGTCAATTCCGGAACTTTGGTCTGACCAGAGACCGAATATTTTTATTTTTTTTGGCATTAGTGATGTCATCCACTTTTCCGACTGCAGCTCATTAGAGTGTCTGACATTTACGTCCCAATTTACTGAATTGCCCTCTAGTCCATTTCAGTGTTCATCCTCATTAAGTGATAGGTGTATTCATAGTTCCTTTGAACCAAAATTAGATTTAAGGAATTCCTAAGACATCGTTTCATTTGTTTTGGTCCAGATTGACCCCTTCAAGAACGTCTACATCCAAGCCATCAACAACTGGCGTCTGAAGCAGAACCAGGCGCTGAGCAACGTCTCCTCCAGCCCGGTCACCATCGTCGACGCTCCTATCGAGTGTGACGTCATGCTGGGGCTAGCATCAACGGTTCACAACCAGAGCCGTCTGGGATTCTACCGTGAGAGAGGTGGCGTCAGCTTCTAAAGAATCAGAAACTATTCCCAGAAAAAAAGATAAGGAATTGTGTTTTCATGTAAATGTTACCAAGGACTGGTCATGTCCGACTAATTTGTCAAATTGAAAAGAAAATATATTTCCTGTCTTTTTCTTATAGTACCATGATATTTCAAGTACAGTTTAAGTGTGAGCTAAGTGTATTTACAGACATCTACGTGTTAAAAAGTACCAACAAAAATTGTGAAAAGTACAAAAGCAATTCTGCATGGGAATTTATTACCTTGTTTTTCTAGAATGATGTAAATAAAAAAAGAAGAAAGATAATTGCTTTTCAAAGCTAATGCTTTTCAGACTTATTTTTCAGAGTTTAGCTTCCATTGCCGTTATCGAAAGTGGCAGTCAAATTAAGCCTGATATTTTCGCTTCACTTTTGATGTTGAGAAAAAAATATATGATTTTGAAATAACAACTAGTTGCTGGTATTCAAAAAGAGTAGGAACCTCAAACCATCCGTTCGGTAGTTATTTTATTCGAAGTGATGTGAATGGCTTTAAGTGGCTAATTAAGGCCAAAAAAAAAAGTCTCCGGTTTCTGGTATGTAGCTTGCCCAAAAAGTGGTGTGGCGACGCGGCCTGGTTTTTTTTGCTTCAAATGTCGGCTGATGACTGCATATGGTGCCCGACTAAACTTAGTACAAATATATGGGAGTCCAGAGAGGCCACATAAAGCTTATTCTGGGTCATAACCCCATCCAAAAACACCTTAAAATTGTGCAGCAGCAGGATTCCAGTCAAACCAGTGAGTTTGGCGGTTTTGAGACATCAATTTTCATTGAAAAAAAAAACGTTTTCATTTTGCCGACGCGCATGGCTACGGCGACGCGCGGGCATACCAGAAACCGGAGACTTTTTTTTGTTTTGCCTAAGCACAAGTTGGGAAAGAAATGAGAAGGAAATTGGATTACAAGTCAAACTATTAACTGCCATTGTTTTTTATTTTGATATTCGCATATATACATTAGGAACGCCAGGGTAGGGATACACCTTTTTGAGAAAACGATTTGGCTGAGGCTTGCAGAACAAAATGACGTATCTGATCAAAATTGATAGACTTTGTTCCAAAAAATGAAGGAATTTACTTTGTAAAGTCACATGCATACCAATATTTGATACATAACCATGTTTTCCAATGTAAGTTCATTAAAGTGTATTATTAAAAGCTATTCTATACATAGTTGAGAAATTTATGCCTTGTGTTTAAAACTGATTAAAATAGTGCACTACATACACCTGGAGGACAGACAGACAAAGGAAGAACAACAGACTCTTTGTTGTCCTTGATCGTTCATCTTTTGTTGAAAACGGTCCTCGATCGTGAGTGTGTCTGCTTAGTCTATGGGAGAGTGTTATATTACAGGGACAAAGGGAAAGACAATGCCTTGTCCTCGAGAGTTATGTAGGGAGAACAACAGACTCTTTGTTGTCCTTGATCGTTCATCTTTTGTTGAAAACGGTCCTCGATCGTGAGTGTGTCTGCTTAGTCTATTGGAGAGTGTTATATTACAGGGACAAAGGGAAAGACAATGCCTTGTCCTCGAGAGTTATGTAGAGAGAACAACAGACTCTTTGTTGTCCTCGATCGTCCATCTTTTGTCGAAAATGGTCCTCGATCGTTTGTGTGTCTGCTTAGTCTACGGGAGAGTGTTATATTACAGGGACAAAGGGAAAGACAATGCCTTGTCCTCGGGAGTTATGTAGCGTACGACTGTGTGCATGTATACAGATTCACACCTTTGTATTTCTAAATTAAGTAGCTAAATAAATGCATGTTCTTATATCCTTATTTAATAAACGAAATCATACGTACTTTGTAATTGAATAGGTGTGCTTATCTCTTTAGATTCTGAGGTTACATTATCCTACCAAAGACGTGCACAGTAAAAATAATAATTACAAAGGGTATACAAATTTGAGAGCTCTTACTAGAAGTACTACATGTATATATTAATGTCATAATTTTTCTCAGCTGAATTATGTGCCGATATATGCTGTAATATTTTCTTTGTACATTCGCCTAGAACTCTTTGACAGTGTTCCCATCATGGACAAAATGTGGAAAAATCCTGGAATTTAAAAAAAGTCATGGAGTTTTGTTATTTTACAATGAGTCATGTAAAGTTGATATTCCAAGAAAAAAAAGTCATGGAATCCAACACATCCCTCTGGTGACGTGTAATATTTGTCTATGCAATCTTCCAGTTTGCATCCCAGCTCACTATATTTCCTCTTTATGTACATGTATGTATGCTGTATACTACTTGTTGCATGCTCAATGCACCATTGTGATGCGTTTGTGATGCTCAGTGGTCGTGCCAATCTGGAAGGCTGGAGGTAGTGGCGTCTCTTGCCTCAAGACCAAGCTCCTAAGATGCTTAAACATAGGAATTGGTAATGGAAGGCCCTAATTTTGTCCTGGAAAGTCACGAAAAAAGCATGGAGTTTTGTTATTTCCTCTTTATGTATGTATGCTCTATACTTGTTGCATGTTCAATGCACCATTGTGATGCTTTTGTGATGCTCAGTGGTCGTGCCCATCTGGAAGCCTTGAGGTAGTGGCGTCTTTTGCCTCAAAATGAATAGGACTAGATGCTAAAACAACGCAGGAGTTGGTCAGGAAAAGCCTTAAATTTGTCCTGGAAAGTCATGGGATTTCATTCCAAAGAATTTTTTTCGTGGGAACCCTGTGTCAATATGACGATAATTGCAACCTCAGTCAGTATCACATTAATGCAATTAAGTTGCCGTGTTTATAAGGCAATGAAAAAAAAATCAAATTGAAGTATGTTTGTGTAGGGGCTCTAAAAGTCTTTTGGTGTTTTCTGTATATATGCGCTCTTTTCTTGTGTGTCTTGCTTTCTCTAAGTACAAAACTTTCAAAAAGTGTGAAATGAATAAACATACAATACATGCCCTTCGTTTGCCAATTTTACATATACATGTATTATTTAATATAATATGTATATTTGTTTATATATTTTGTTTATTGCAATTTGAGCAGAATTTGGCTAGTGAGAGTTCGCTATTTCATTTTTCGTTACATTTTAAAATGTTTTTCTTGGTTTACCTGTAGGCTGAATTGTGTGTAATATTATTTGTGTAGTTTTCAAAGATTATGGAACATACTTTATACTTTGCTTAGTTTATGATACTTTTTGTTCACTTAACATACCGAAAATGCTACATGGGAGAACAATAAAAAGCTGAAATAAACAAAATCAAAATGTCCGCACCATAATATGATAATAAAAAGAAAATTAACAGCTTAAACTAATTCAGTTGTTAATTATTCATGTAACCGTCACTTTGTTATGAGGTGTGATTTTAGTTTGGGGATTTGAGATAATAAATACTGAATATTGAAACCTAAGTGACAAAGTGAATTTGCTTCTTTGTTTATCAAAAAGGTGTACTGAATGTTGTACGTGTAGTAAGTCATCAAGTACCGTAAATGTGTAAGAACTTGACGAATTGTAAAGTTTTTGTGGACAAGACAGTGAAGGCCGTCTGATACAATACAATTTGTACAGAGACGGTGGTGAATGTCACACGAGTGGAACGTGTGACGCAGCGTCCAGGATGATGTAATGTTTTTCTAACACAAGGAGGAAGTTGGAACATTTTATTTCCTTGCGTGTTGCTGCATTGTTGCAATGTAATCATCTGAATTGGGTTTCAGATATCTTGAATAGATTTGGATTTGGGGAGCATCGGGGAATCCCCTTTGGTATTGTTTACAATGAAATATTGCTAACAGAACTTGAGTGTATTATGATTGGATTGTGTCAACGTACATCGTACGTTAGGTGGGCACAAACCTTAAAAAGTTCTTACAAGTTGTAGCTTTGGCTAATTTTTTAGCCAACAATTCCTTTAAAATTACTGTATATCTGCAAAAAAAATGTATTCCGAATGTCACATTATACAATCTTTGTGGTTTTTAAACCTTTCCCTTTGCCTATTCTTACATCTACATGTACAACTTTCACATTTTAATTCTGTTTATTTGTACAAAATATTTATCATCGTGAACACTTATTTCATGAGAATTCTGGGTAGGTTAATTCCGTATTAATTATGTCTCTATTGTAATAATTATCTATGGTAACAATCCCATCTCCTTAAAGATTTAAAGTACATGATGATCAATTCAGTTACATGAGATTAAGGATTTGCGTGATGAGTACAACTAGGGAGAGTTTTTTTTAAGGACATCACATCACATCGTGTGAAGAGACTTTCTGTATAAAGAGAGGTTATGAGAAAAGCAGATGTGCTAATCGACATTCAGTCCTGCAATGTTCATTCTTGTCCGTCATTTCTGTTGAGTGCGATGCTAGCGTACACTGTCGGGTCATCTGATGATGATATCTGTTGCTGATTGCCATCTCCAGATGGATTAGGCTGCAGATCCAGATCGGCATACATGACGTGATCAGCTGATGGTTTCTTCTCACGGTTTGGAATCTGAGGGAATTGAGCCTCATCGGGTTCCTCCTCTGGGCGTGGCAAATTGGTCTCCCCACCCCGTCCATCTTGACTCCCATCGAGAGGTGCAAATGGAGAGATAGGGTAATTGAGATTAGTGGGAGGTTGCGGTGATGTTGATGGATGCTCTGCCGGTGTCTGGTTGTCCTGGTTGGAATGACCGTCGCGAGTGCCGCTTGCTGGGTGTGCTTTGGGTTTGTAAGGCGCAGGCTTCTTGGGTACTTTTTGAACAGGTGTAATTTTAGCAATTGGTTTGTCCAATGCACTTCTGCCTGCAGGTGATGCTAATGGATCAGTGGTGTACTTGGATTCAAATGCAGGATTGCTAAGGCCCTGCTCATTGGAATAATCAAGTGAGTGGCCTGGAAGTCTAACCTTGGCCTCTGTTTCACTGCTTACTGATGGAGCGTTTACTCCATGTGGTATTGCGTATGGTTGATCTGTATCCATTTCCTGGTCCCTTGTAACAGGTGAAATCCCGGTGTAACAGGTGCCTGCTTCAGGGGCGGGGTTTGGATCCTCGCTTTCTTGTCGCTGGTCTTGTCCAGTGAGTCGGTGACCGTTTATGCGCTCATTTTGTCCTGAGTCAGCGTACATATTTGACTCAGAGGGTCCAGGGTTGTCAGTTGCAAGTTCAATGTGCTCAGTGGTTGTGTTTGGTATGTCTGGTCTCTGTTTAATGTTGCAGTTGCCCCGTTTTCGACAAATAATGATCAGAATTAAGATGGTGAGGAATAGCGCAGCTACTCCACCTGCAGATGCACCTGCTATCAGAGCTGTTTGCATGTTCATTGTATCAGACTGAGCGGTAAATACATTTATTGGTCCAATCGCACACTCTCTACTCATCTGAGGGAAAGATTCAGATGAAATGATGCACGCAAACTCAACACCGTCGTCACGGGCATCCGCTT